GAGGGCAGAAGAGAAAGCTGCACAAGAGGCTGAGGAGCAGGCTGCGTTGGAGGCTGAGCGAGTGGCTCGAGAAGCAGAAGAAAAGGCCGCCCGAGAGGCAAAGGAGGCCGCTACCATCGCCAAAGAAGAGGAAGAGATTGCTGAGCTAGTCGAAAAGAAGAAGGCCAGGACATTCAGGGGCCTGTCGAGCAAAGAAGAGCAGCGGTTGAGTGAGCTGCAAGCGAGATCGGCAAAGCGAGCTGAGAAAAAGGCCGCTCGGGAAGCTGAAGAGCAGGCAGCTTTGGAAGCTGAACGACTAGCTCAGGAAGAGGAGGAACGAGCCGCCCAAGAAGCGGCAGAGGCTGAGGCGATCGCTAAGGAAGAAGAGGAACTGGCACAGCTCATTGACAGAAAGGCCAACTCGTTTATAGGCCTCTCATACAAGGCTGAGAAGAGGCTGAAAGAGCTTCAAGCCAATGCCGATGAGAGAGCAGCTCGCGAGGCCGAAAAGCAGGCTGCTCTAGAGGCTGAGCAGGCTGCTCAAGAAGCGGCCGCCGAGGCAGCTGCCATCGCCCAAGAGGAAAAAGAAATGGCCGACTTGCGACACAAGAGAGAGAAGAAGGGCAAGTTGTCTAAGAAGGATGGCGAACGACTGAGTCATCTGAAAGACAAGGCGGCCAAGAGAAAGGAAGAGCAAGCTGCGCGCGAAGCTGAGCTGGCCGCTGCCAATACCGAGGAAAACGAAGATGACGAGGACGAGGACGATGAGATGATGGATGTTTTTCAAACGGGTGACGATGCCAACGACGATGATGATAACGACGATATCGACGCCGATGAAGACGACGAAGAAGCCATTCGAGCGGCAGAAGAGGAGGCGGCTGCTCGTGAGGAGGAAGAGAGGGCTGCCCGAGAAGCTGAGGAGGAAGCTGCGCGGGAAGCTGAAGAGGCCGCCAAGAAGTTGAAGAAGAGCTCCAAGAAAGACAAGAAGGAGAAGGAGGAAAAGAAGGATAGGAAAGATAAGAAGGACAAGAAGGACAAGAAGTCGCGGGATCTTCCATCCGAGGCAGAAGCAGAGCGAGACGTTGGATCCTCTCAGCCAGAGTCGGGGCCCAAAGCAGATGCTGATTTTGATATGAGCCCTGCTGAGATCGAAGCGCTGCTTGCACCCAAGGAGACGGGCCCAGCGGGTGCATTCAGCTTCTGGGGTCTCGGTGGTAGGAAGTCGAAGCCAAAAGGTATGTTGGACTGTTTTGTCCATTTTGAAGGAAGATTGCTAATCAAGATCAATAATATTAGATGAGCCAGAGCCGGAGCCAGATACTAGATCAAATGACGACCGATCGCAGAAATCCTCAGAGCGATCAAGATCCCTGGGCGGCAGAATTGCTAATGGCCTCAAGGCATTCGAACAAGCACCTGAAGAAGTAGCCGATCCCGTCTGCCCACTATCCCCGCCCCCGCCAGCATCTGACTCGGATGAAGAGGAAGAGGAAGCCGCAGAGAGACCAAACGTCGAAGCGGTGGATGCTGAACCGGTGGCTAGAGAAGAACCAGCAGCTGACTTTGAACAGGAGGACGATGGGCTACACTATGGTGATGCCATGGAAGAGACGCCAACTAGGAAGAAGGAGCCGCCGCCTCAAGATGATAGGTCTAGGAGAAGGAGAAAGGCAGAGGAGCCAATAGTCGTACCAGTACCGGTAGTCTTTCCGGAAAGAGGCGAGAGGGGCACATCACGAAGGCATCGAAGACCTTCGGACGTTCCAGGGGGGTTCCCCGGCGATGATGGTGATGAAAATGAGATAGTTGCCATCATTGACGAAGGGCCGAGGAAAGAGAGAAAGTCCAAGAGGCGGCGACTCAAGGAGGAGGATATGATGCCTCCTCCGCCTCCGCAAATGCCGATGCCTCCACCACCGCCGCCGCCTCCTCCTGTCGTCCCCGAAGCGCCCTTGACGCCACCACCGGAGCCGAAGTCATCGAGGAAAGAAAGGTCAAGATCCAGCCGAGAGAAGGAGAAATGGCCTGCGGTAGCATCCCCCCCGCGCAGAGAAAGAGAAGAGAAGCGGTCATCCAAGCACAAGTCGGAACGATCGTCTCGGCGGGCAGTGGAAAAGGCGTCTTCCAGAGACTCCACTTCTGACAGGGCGGAGCGAGCAGAAAAGTCGGGCAAGTCTTCAGGGCGGAACCGACTCACGGGGATGTTTAGCAGCAACCCTCCCGCGAGATCAATGTCTACACGAGAAAAGGAGAGGCGATCCAGTATGAACGACAGCAGCAGGCCTCCTAGGCCTAGGAGGAATACCGTTACGAGCCACGGCCTTGTTTCTCCACCCCCAGAAGAGTCTCCTGACGTGACATCGAAGGCTGCTAAAATCCTCGGATTCGACAAGTCAGCCTCGAAAAGAAGGTCCCGCAGGGCGCATTACCAAGATGAGGAAGAGGCTGTGATGATGGGAGCTCTTGGCGATGATCCTCACACAGATTATCCACAAGAGAGACATCGAAATAGGAGATCTCGCGAAGATGATGTTGTCATGCCGGCAGAACCCTCCAGCCCTGAACACTCACACAGGCGAGCGGCTTCGACTTCGAAGAAGGCGGGATTGGGTGGGCTTTTTAGCGGCTTCATGACTCCTAGAGCATCCAAGGTTGAGACTGGCGTAGATTTCGACATACCCGCGGTAGAGACAGACCGAGAAGGGCCCCGAGTATCTAGTCGCAAGATTAGAAAGTCAGAGCGGGAGTCAGAGCGCACCGGCGATGATCGTGAGCGACGACGGAGGCGCAGAGATGATAGCGAGACTCGCAAATTGGCAGAGAAAGAAGCTCGTCGTGAGCGACGGGCTGCTCGCCAACGCGAAGCAGACGAACAACGCGAGGCAGAAGAGCGAGAGGCTCGACGAGCCGAACGACGTCTACGCAAAGAAAAGGAGAGGGAGAGGGAGAGGGAGAGAGATCGAGAAAGGGAGAGAGAGGAAGACGTACAAAGAACGTCGAAACGCCAGCGACGCAGGTCCCATGCAGAACCCTCTGACGATGAAGCAGCCGAACGACAGCGTAGACGTGAGGCAAGGCGTGCCGCCAAAGCTGCTGCCGAGGAAGAGGAAGCCTATAGCAGGCCGAGGAAGAGCAGTCGCCGCTACACTGAGCCTGCGGTAGATGATCATGTATATCCGGCCAAGGAGCGTCGACGAGACGGTAAGAGAGCTGCGCCCGGGATGTGGCCACACTCTGGGACATCCTCTTGGGTCAAGGAGCATTCGGATCCACCTCCGCATCTAGACGATGCTGGACATATGACAGATGCGGTGCAGCACACGGAAGACGAACAAGCCCGGCGTGAGGCTCGGCGCGCTCGGCGACGAGCCAAGCACGAGGAGGTGCCTGTGGAAGATGCAGACGAGAGACGCCGCCGAGAGAGGCGAGAGAGACGAGAGCGCGAGAAGCGCAACGGCGCATCAGAAGGAAGCGATGAGCGCCATCGCAGCCGACGAGATTCTGCCGCAGAGCCAGCGCCTCGGAGCAGCTGGTGGAGAAAGCTCGCCGGATGATATTCGAGAGTCGCATGAATCTTGAGCAAGCGTGTTTGATCTTTTCTTATTTTCTTTTTATGATGACCTATATGTCTCAATTTGTTGCTTGTTTCTTACTCTTCAATCTTCCTGTTCTGCGTGCTGTCTGGATTTTTTTTGTCTTCAGTTATCATGACATGATGATGGTTATTTTCAACTTCAGACGCTGCTATTGCGGCAACAGGCGGCATTACCGTATCATACCTTATTTATTACAGCTCTGCCAATTCTTTCCGGGATTTCGGGCCAGTCCATCCCGGACATTTACAGGCAAATTTCTATCCCAGTCATAGTGTAGCGATGGGATGAGATGAGATTTTTGTTTCGTTTTCGGTTTTGTGTTTCTTCGCTTTTCAATTTCGTTCTTCATTTTGTCGACGATGTTTGATATGATGTACGAGTTGTTTCTAACGGCTTTTTGAATTGGGAATTGGGTCGCTGGAGGCCAGGTTGTGCTGCGTGTATCACTTTTTTTTTTATCATGAGATGGGAGATGAATGATGCAAAATTGCCTCGCATCACCGGGTATTTGTACTTTTTTTTCCTCTTTATCTCTTTCTTCTACCTGTTCCTTTATCTTGCATATGCGCTGTGGGTATCTGGGTAGCTGTTGGAATCTTGGACCAAATGATATCAATCGGGCTGAAATCAAATCCTAGTGTGTGCTCCGTGTTTGCAGTAGCGCAGCCGTGTATAGAGCACTTGAGCCGGGCAAAATGGGCCGCTTGCCGCTTGAAAAGCTACATGTAGTGCCTCTGTTGGCATCTATCTACCACGATATAGGTACCTGTCTAGGATTTGTGTAGGTACATGTATGAATTACTAAACCGGGTGTTGGGTGCAGGTATTGCGGTGGAGTGAAGTGTGATGCGATGCACTGCATTGAATACTTGGTGACAGGTGATAGGTGGCTTCCCCCCCCGGCCTATACCGGAATTGGGTTTGTATCAATTGTTGGCTGTAGGATATACGCGCAGGAGAACACCAAAGCAAAGATTTCCAGCGTATGCACATGTTCATGAAATAATCATCCGTCATGATAAATTGTATCTCCAACGCTATGAAACCCAGTAAATGCCATTGATATTCGGGCTACGTATTATGTAGCTGTCGGTTGTAAACGTCAGCTTCTGGCAGCATGTCATTGTTCCATATAGAGGGGTCGTATTAACGCCCGCCATTTTTAGATTTAGCCTTTCCTGCCCTGGCCGGTCGACGGAAAGCCGTTTTCAACCTCGCCTTTTTGGGGGTGGCGCGGCCTGCGGCTTCTTTCCCAATTGACATCAACCAGCTGTTGTTCCTTTTTACGTCCAGCCGCCAGTCACTCTTTTGCTGCCGTAAACGCCCTTTCTGCCTCCAGGGGCCGAAAGGGGACGCTGCATCGCAAGACTCAGAGGCTCTTTTTCTTGTTTTGTTTGCTACACCATGAGTGCGCCGGGGAAGCAGGCGTCGCGATGGGGCTCGTTTCTACAGCAGGCCGTGGCGGGCGTCGAGTCCCGCTTGGACAACATCCTGGCCGAGTCGGACGATGATCGCAGTGCGACGCCACCCGCGGCGGCTGCTTCTGCTGCTGCTGCTACGACGACAACGACAACGACGACTGCCAGTCCAAAAGTGACGAGCTCTGGTGAGTGAGTGATGATGCGGCGGAGAATATGAGGAGGGGAAGTCAAGGGAAGAGAGGGGCGAAAAGGATTCCCAACAACTTGGTATATGAACAGCTCCAGCAGCTAACCAAAAGGCAATTCGTGACAATAGACTCTCGGGCATCGTCGACTAGCCGCGCAAATGACCGACTACAAGCAAGACTGGCCAAGGCCTTGGCTAACAAGAATGCGCTTTCGCCGGCGAATGCGTCACCACGCAGCTCCTTCGATGCGGCCAGCCGAAGCTCCATGGAGAGGCCCTCGATGGATCAAGACCAGTCTGAGAATCTGCCGGGACAGAAGCCCGCATCCGAGACGGAGTCGCCTCAAATTGTCCCTGATCCCACAAACACCTCTACGGAGACGACGACTACGGAGACGACCGCAATACCGATAACAATAACGGACGATGATGCGGCTATAGAGTCTACTTCGGAGCCGGCGGCTGAAAACGCAGAGGATACCCCTTTAGGAACGGAAGAGGCACAGACGCTCAAAGAGGCACAGACGCTCAAAGAGGTACCTTCAAAAGAAGAGGAGGAAATATCGACAAAAGTGGTGAAAGACGAAACTCTGACAGGTACCCCTGGTGCGGCAACAACGGTTGTAGAAAATGGGCCTGGTGCCGACGAATTAGCTCGCGAGCTTGAGGAGGCAAAGTTGCGACATCGAGAGGAGATTCAAGAGTACGTTGAACGGATAGACTCTATACAGTCCAAGCTCCAATATCTCTCTAAAAATGCCGCCGACTCTGCAAAGCAGGCTGCGTCAGCTGCCCCATCTGGTAGCCAGGAAAAGAAGCTTGCGGAGAAGGATGAGCGGATCGCGCTGCTGATGGAGGAAGGCCAGAAATTAGCTGGAGCAGAGCAAAAGTACCGAGCAGCGATCAAGGCTTTGCGGCTTCAGGTGGGCGAGCGCGACAAGCAGTTGGACGAAGCACGGAAAGCAAAGGACAAAATGTCACTCGATATCCAAGCGCTGCGCGACCGCTTAGACGGAGATGAAGAGAAGGAAAAGCGCCAGCAGGAGGCCACCAAAGCGACAGCGGCTCTGCGGAAGGAAATTGACATCTTGAAGAAGGACAATGCCAACAAGGATGCTACGATTCGTCGGCTTGAACAGGAGGTAAAGTCAAAAGAGGAACAAGGCCGGGTTGCCAAGGCGGATGCTGTGAGCAAGGCGTTGGCCGCAGAGCGAGTGAAGCAAAAGGAACTCGAAGAGGCAAATGATGCTATTCGAGCGGAATTAGAGGCTCTAGGCGAGAAAGCCCGACTGGATGCCATAGAAGCGAGCGAAAAGCTTGAGCGTGCCATTCAGCGCGGTAACACCGTCGAGGCCGAGCTACGTCTTGAGCTTCGGAGCATGGAGGGCAAGCTGGAAGGTGTACGAGTAACCGCGGAAGAAGCTGCCTCTAGCACAGGAGGTGAGGCTCAGGCTAAGCTGTTCCGGCAGATAGAGACGTTGCAGTCACAGTATGCGTCGGCCAGGCAAAATTGGCAGGGCATTGAAGCGTCTTTGATGTCGAAAACGACCAGCCTGGAGAGCGAGAGAGACGAAGCACAGCGTCGAGAGTCTGAAATGCGCAAGAAGGCACGGGATGCGGTACGTCTGACATGTTCTGATCAATTCCAACCCTTTTTCTGTCGATATTCATCTGTCAATATATATACTAATTTTGTTGACTTTTCTTGTTTTGCCATAGGCCAAGCGTAGCAGAATTCTGGAAGATGAGCTACAAGATGCCCAGATGCAACTGGAAACCTGCCGCGAGGACTTGGCTGCTCTCCAAAAGACCTCAAAAGCTACCGAGACGGCCCTCGAACAAACCCGCACAGATCTAGACAAGGAGAAGCAGGCTGCAAGCAGAGCCTTTACGGCTGAATCAGGGAGACAATGGATCGATGAAGTTGCGGGTGCAGCGCCATCACGAACCCAAAGCCGACCAGAGTCGCCATTACTCTCCGTCCCACGAACATTCAGCTCCGAAGCTGTCTCATTATCTGTTCCCAACCGCATTCGACGATCTCCCACTCCTGTAAATATACTAGATACCGCAGCAGAAGGATTCAGTCCTCTTCGCCGGTCTTCCGCATACCTACCGCCTCGTATAGGGACAGGGCCGCTGTCACTTTCCGGATCCGTTCCTCCATCTCCCTTCTCTCCTCTGGATCAGCCGTTGGAATCACCACCGACAATACCTCCGTCTGTGACAGAGAGAGAAAATGGAATCAGCGATACGGCCCCTTCGTCGCCTCGCAATCTAGCACAAGATATGATTTCAGTGTCAACGGTGGCGGCAGGTCCGTCTGTTCAATTAGTAGAACGGATGAGTGCCGCAATTCGTCGTCTGGAAGCCGAAAGAGTTGCTGCCAAGGAAGAGATGGCGAGGGTCTGTAGTCAGAGAGATGAGGCGAGGTCAGATATGGTGAGCCTGATGAAGGATTTGGAGGACGCAAAGGCAGCATCTGCAAGGGTGCCGGATCTGGAAAAGGAAGTTGCCGACCTGGATACGAGATACCAAACCACCTTGGAGTTGTTAGGAGAGAAGAGTGAGCTGGTTGAGGAGCTGAGAGCGGATGTAGATGATGTGAAGACGATGTATCGGGAACTGGTAGAGCGAACTGTAAAATAAGTGTGGCTTGTTCATGGGTTTGGGCTCAGAAGGGAGGGCAGGGAGCATTAATAGAAGGACACAGAATCAAGGGGAAAGAAGGAAAAGCGTAATGAAAGACAATGATTTGGAATGACAAGGCGTGGTATGCTCTGTAGATTAGACTTGTACACTTTTATACACTACTGCTTATCATCCCCCCTGTTGACAGCTGCTGCATCTGGTATAAAGCTTGCTAATAACTAATCGACCAGCTGAATGCCTTCTCGTTCAGCGCCTTGAATGATGAATTGGCGCACCTGTTTGCGGCACGTTAGTCCAATACATGCATACATGGAATCTGTACATGAAAGGGGGACGTAGGGTATCTTTACCTCTTTGTCTGGAGCCAAGTCAATAGCAAGTTCGCCATCGGTAGTCTTGAGTGTAAAATCAGCCTCTTCTTTCAGAAGAGCGACGGCAGTGTCTCCTACACAACACATCATATTAGCTTCACTCACAAACTTCCCATGAGATGTGTGACACATACCGTGGCCCTCCGCGACAGCATGATGAAGAGGAGTGAAGCCTTCGTTGTCCGTCGCATTCAGGGGGCTCCTGTTCTTCAGCAGAAGCATCACCATTGGCACGGAACCGACGGCCGCGGCGCGATGGATGGGATATTGGCCGCGGCGGTCGCGGACGCGGGTTGATGCTGGGGGTTTGGAGCTGATGAGGAGGCGGGCGACGTCGAGGTTCTTTTTGGAGGCGACGAAGTGGAGGGCTGTCTGGGGGGTTTGATGTTAGCTAAGCTGGACTATGGCATATCCATATGCATAAGTTGCATTTGACGTTTTTGTATCTTGTTTCAGAATACAGTGATATCTTTGACTCACTTGACCGTTGTTATCTGAGAAATGAGTTAGTTAGGCACATGAGTAGCAAATAGCCAAGGCTTTGATAGTCTAGTTGAAGCAATAACTTACTCTTGATGTTGACATCGGCGCCCCTTTGGAGAAGGAGATTTAATGCTGGCTCGCTGTTTTGAACGCTGGCTGAGATCATGAGGGGAGTCCAGCCGCTGTCGTCCTATATTTGCGTAGACAGATTTTGGTGTAAGTAAGCTGGGTTAAAAACTTGGCTCATCTCATTTCAATACTGGTAAACACCGATGAAGATGATTTTGCTGGAAGAAGAGAACGTATATATACCTGAATATCTGGGTCAAAGCTTGACTGGTTTGCTAAAAGGAGGAGAATGTCGTAGCTGTTGGAAGAAGCTGCCCAGTGGACGGGATATCTGCCGTCGTCGTCCTTGCGTTTTGAGAGCTTGGGATCCGTCTATTAAATAGAGGTGTTGGTAGATGATTTGAGCTTCATTTTCTTGCATGCTTATGCGTATTGATCTTCTAGCCATCTGAACATACCTTGAGCAGACCTTCTGCAACGGAGACTGGGCCATGTTAGCTGATGTTGAATGTGTGCACATGGCCAAGAGCTCAATACCTCTGCCTTCTCTTGCAGCCGTGTGCAGCGGAAACTTATCGCCATCTGTATCAGCCATTGTGAGAACAGTGCGTCGTTTATATCTCGTATATATTGAGTCTTTGCTAAAGAAGTTGATTTTGGTTAAAAAGAGAGCAACAGATTCTGGAGTGGTGGGAGATGGAGATGTAGCTGGGCAAAAAATCCAAAGATGCAGGGTAAGGCGTTGTACTTGAAGCTTCCAGGCCACTGCTGTATTGCGTACTGGGCGCTCGCCCTGTATTTTCCTGGTGCGCCACAGTCTGAACTGCAGCATGTATGCACCCCACAGCGCCTGCGCCACAGAAGGCTGGGCCTTGCAAGTCCAATCCAAGTTCGCCTCTGGCGGCTGCTTTTTTGTTCTACAAACGCGAATCGACTCCAAATCCCATCTTTTGTACTCTAATCCTCTGCATCTTCCTTGTGTGCCATGGAGGCACCACAGACGCCGCAAGACGCGCTCCATCTGGGTGCGCTCGCGTCTCAAAATGCCTCTGCGACGAGGCATCTCTACTCTCGGCTCGAATTGTCCAACGGCAAGCGCCAGAAGCTCGAGGGCGTCTTCGAAGATGCCGTCATGAAGCGTCGATTCGAGGCCGAATACGCGGCTGTCCAGACCCTGCCCGAGGCGCTCGCAGCGAAACAACCATCGAAGCAACCACTGCGGAAGACGGCGGCCAAGGCTGGAGGCCCAGCGCGAAAAGCACCCAAACTTCTTGAGGCTGGACCTGGAGCATCACCGGCTGCGTCAAAGGCCAACGGAGACGAGCCGACGATTTCGACAACGACGGTACCGCAGAGCATGAGCCTGACAGTCAGAGGGTCACAAGCAATCCAGCAAGTCAAGCCCGAATGGCACCCGCCGTGGAAGCTGATGAGGGTCATCTCAGGCCATTTGGGATGGGTGCGCAGCTTGGCAGTCGAGCCGGGGAACAAGTGGTTTGCTAGCGGTGCTGGCGACAGGACGATCAAGATCTGGGATCTCGCCACGGGGTCGTTGCGATTGACATTGACGGGACACATTAGCACCGTGCGCGGCCTGGCCGTCTCTCCAAGACACCCGTATCTCTTCTCTTGCGGCGAGGATAAAATGGTCAAGTGCTGGGATCTGGAGACAAACAAGGTGATCCGCCACTACCACGGCCATCTCAGTGGTGTCTACACATTGGCTCTCCATCCGACGCTGGATGTCTTGGTGACTGGTGGTCGAGATGGCGTTGCTCGAGTTTGGGATATGCGGACGCGCAGCAACATTCACGTTTTGTCGGGCCATACCGGCACTGTGACAGATGTGGAATGCCAGGAGGCAGATCCCCAAGTGATTACAGCATCATTGGACTCTACCGTCCGGCTTTGGGATCTGGCGGCCGGAAAGGCCATGGGCGTTCTCACCCACCACAAGAAGGGCGTCCGGGCCTTGGCTGTCCATCCTACCGAATTCACCTTTGCATCGGGCAGCAGCGGCAGTATTAAGCAGTGGAAATGCCCGGAAGGCGCTTTCATGCAGAACTTTGAGGGCCACAATGCCATCATCAACACCATGAGCGTAAATAGCAACAATGTTTTCTTCTCAGGTGGTGCGTATCTCTTCCTCCCTTTGCCATGGCGTAAAGAATACACATGATGGACCAAGATCGATAATTAACTCCACAATTTAGGTGACAATGGCTCAATGAGCTTCTGGGACTGGAAGTCAGGTCACCGATTCCAATCTTTCGAGACAACAGCTCAACCAGGCTCATTAGACGCCGAATCAGGCATCATGAGCTCGACGTTTGACCGTTCTGGACTGCGTCTCATCACGGGCGAGGCTGACAAGACTAGTAAGTGTTTCTTCAATGGATTTTAACTTGTCCAGTTGACATGTTGTATGCTAACTCTTTGTTTTCCTCAAAGTCAAAATATGGAAACCAGATGAAAAAGCGTCAGAGGAGACGCACCCGATACAATGGACGCCAACATTGGCGCAAAGGAAATTTTAGCCAGGAGTTTATGGGAGTAATGTTATCTGATTTACGTTATTAATTCTCGATTTTCAAAGTGTATATATCAAGCGGCAACGGAAGAAGCATAGAACTTGCACCGCAAATCACTGGCGGATGGACACATGCATATTTTATGGCATTTGATGCCTTTCCGAATCTCATGGAGTAGAAATAGTTGGGCAAGATGACTCATGTACTAATTATTCTGGGCTAATGTTGGTAAATGAATTGTGTCTTAACTTTCTGATGATAACATTAAAGGTGCTTTACATATCTATAAGATGATCTGTTTCGTGATCTCATTGCTATTTTTGGTATCCAAACCCACCAACACGCTGAAGTACAAAACATCTATCAAAATCTTTGCATATTTCTCCCTTATCCTTCCTCGCCTGTCAAACTCTTAGTGTACACAATGGTTTATGAAAGCGTGAGTATAGTGTAGACGCTGCCGAAGGCCGTGCCGTTCATACACTCAGACCTATGGACTTGAGATCCGCGTCATCGCGCAGCGCCATCTTCACCTCGTCGTCAGCAATGGCCAACCGCAACTTGCTTGACCGGTCCGCACGATGCGCCTCCAAATTAATCAGGCCAGCGGCAACCAGCTCCAGGGCCGCGGTGTGGATGTATTGCGGCCGTCCTACCATACGCCGACCGGCTTGGTTCCCCTTGCCGAGGCCAGGAAGGATTTGAGCCATTCCAGGAGGTGGACGGGCTGTATAAGCCGTGGAGCGCTGAAGTTCATCCAGAGTTTCGCCAAGAGTCGTCTCAGCCAGACCAGACCTTCGGATTCTTAGTAGCAGCGCCGCCATGAGCATCTTCGACGTAAGGGGGAGGCCACGCAGATGTTGTTGGATGGGATTGGTCGTGGCCTCATTGATGGCTCTCTTGATTGTAGAGATTGTCACTCTTCCGCGCCGAGACTGGTCGGGAATTCCATTTTCATTCGCCCGTTTGCTTGGAGTCATTGGATCGCCCGGAGCGTCGCTCTCTGCCAGCTCAACCGCTCGACGGCAGATATCCAGCGCTCGTCTGGCGTCTCCGCTGACGGCAGCTACTTTGCGACTCGCAAACTGGACGGCATCTGCATCAACAATATTTCCCGGTACGCCTTCAAGACGAGATTGTATGATTTTCATAAGCTGGTCGTGGTTGTAGCCGGGGAAAGTAATACGGGTGAGGCCTATATTGAAGCTGTTAGACATCTTGCTTTCCTTACGACTAATGTTAGCTTCTGTTGTACGTACCTAAACGACTGCTGATCTTGTTGCTCAAAGTTCTCTCAGGAAGATCCATTGTGTTGGCTACTGCAAGCACAATAAGACGACTGTGTCGGAGGGTTGGCCAGTTGAAAAAGTTGTACATGACTGCTTGATTTTTCGTGACTAGTTGATCGAGCTCGTCCATCAACACGACACATGGAACGCGTCGTGGGCTAGGATTGCTGAATTCTCGCTCCAATAGGTCGAGTGACTGGGCAGGGCTTGCACGTTCGCCCTTGATAGCTTCCCATAGCAGCGAGTATGCCTGATGAGGATCTGTAATCTTCATGCCATTGATCTCAACGAATATGAAATCGTCCAACTCGTCTGAGCCGACGGCTTCTTCAAGGCGAGAAATGACTTCTCGTACCGTGGCCGTCTTTCCAGTCCCCGGTGTCCCGGAGATATAGATACAGTTGCCAGTACCCTCCGTGATGGCGGCTTCTAGATGTGAGTATACCAGTGAGAATTCTCCTTCACGACAAGGCAAGCTGGTGGGAACTGCTGAGACATGGAGGCGCGAACGTGCAATCTGAAACGGGGAAGATTGGACCTGGCTGGGCGACAGCTTTCTGGTGGCTAGAGGCGTGAACTCTAGTTTCTTTCCGCCACTCCTCGGTCCTCGCTTCGATTTGGGAGTTGTCGCTGAGTTTCTGCCGGTCTTGGTTGGTGTTTGAGGCGGTAGGTATGTACCCTCGGCCTCTGGCGGTGATTGAGCTCGAGCTTTTCGACGGGTTGCTCTGGTATTCTTCTCCACAAAGTCCTTTAAAGCTGATACGTCCCCATTCTCATAAGTTTCTTCCCATACAAACTCGTCCGTGTATGTAGTAGATCGGGTGTTGCAGCCACGCCGACATACAAATGTCTTCCCAAAGTCGGGCGAATTTCGCGATATCTTTCCGGAGGGATGCGCGCTGAGAAAGGCGTCTAGGGACATGATATTGGCCTTGCCATTGATCGACGCCAGGGGATTTACGTCGAAGGATGGCGAGATGTACAGCTCGTTCTAGATTGTTGGTTAGAAGAATGATGTTTCGTTCAAGGAATAGCAACTGTACGTACCCAGTAGAAGTCTTCTCGCTTTCTCCCCTTGTTACGGATCTCCTTCTCTGTCAAGAACCACATGAAATTGGCGCTCATTTCTCCAGTCTCGCTGTCTTCCTGGAAATCGCAGATGATGGCTACCCAAGCTCCAATGGACCCATCGGCCGCCTTGAGCATCACCGTGTCTCCAACGCGGCATTCGAAATCGCCATATCGAGCCCCAGCAATCTTGGAACTGGCCACGCCTCTCCTCCTCTTGCGATCCCCATCGCCCTTTTCGCCATTATCTGCTTGTTCGGTGGTATACAGCCATTCCCATGATAGTTCTCCAGTTTCTGAATTATTGTCTGATTCTTCGCTAGCCTCCGCAGCAGAAAAAGCACGTTTGCGCCCTCGGGTCGAGTGAGGATTGGTCTGAGGAGTGGTCTGAGCCGTCATTAGTGAGGATGCCGGGGTAAAGATGAATAGTTAAGCTGCTACTGAGCGGCTCGATGAGTTGGAGGTTGATGCCTTGTTTAGATTGTCGTTTCCTTGGGAAAATAATCAGAGCAGTGACGGCATTTAATTGGTCTGAAAATGAATCATGGAGCTTAAAGCAGCTCAGCAAGTTACACCCAGCACTTAGTAGGGTAGCTAAGTAGTCTAGATCAATTAACGCGTCTGGATTTTTGGGAGACGCGCCGGAGAGAACTCGATATGTGCATAGTCAATTGATGCATATTCCCAGTACACAGCAAGCAGACCATCCAGTACCCGCTCTTAAAGACGAAGAAATGCAAAACATTACGGCTCTGAATGTCGTGTAAATATGAACATACTAAAATACTTTGATTCTTGAACAGTGGAAGTGCTATACGATGATTATAGCTTACCAAAGTGAAGTAGTGTACGCAGCTAGGTAGGATACGCTTCACGCCCGTGTCGAGGGCTGAGACTGTTGTCTGTTATATCTTTGATACGATGAGAAAGCCGTAACAATAGACACAATGTATGATGAATAATACAACTAGCTGCATTATTTACAGAGCAGCTTTGGCTCATTGTGCGACGTAGACTCGCATTCTGCCAAACGGGAACGTGCAGATGCCTTGGCAGTGATTGACTGCTGGCCAGCAGATGCCTCTTGCCGCCAGCATCTCTTTCACTTTCCTTTCACTTCCCTTACCGCCCGTCACAGAGCTGCCTCAGGCTTACCATGTCGGTAGGCTGCATATATATACAGTAGCTTTGCTGGCACCTGATCACATCCCCTTTATTCTTTCTAAAATAACACACCACACCCCCTCTCCGCATTGTATCTCTCCCATGCCAATCATCTATTCATATCATCAAGCTCTAGGTTCACTTCATGTGCTCTAAAAGCTGCTAGAGCAACTTTGACTGGAAATTGCCAAGATGAACAAAGGCAAGCTTCGGGCAAGCTCCCGGCCGCCTAGGCCTCGAAACTTCCAAAATCCAAATGGACAGAATGAAGGGTCAAGGAAATTCTGGGGCTCACCAAAGAGAATGGCAACCGCCAAGTCCCAAATGAATGATAGGCGGCAACTAACAGTCGCCGCATTTGCCGGGGACTATCGCGGGCCGCCGCCTGCTGATAGAGACCTGATAGAAGTAAGTGGCGTCGATATCTTTCATACTGCTCTTGTATTCTCCAATCAATGCCAATTGCTCGTAGTCCACTGACCCTTGATAAGGCTACCTTTGTGACATCCATTAAGGAGTATGGCTTCTATGCTACACAGTTTACGACACATGACAGCGAAATGGATGCTGTTCGGCAACGGCATCAAGTTTGGATCGTTGCCGATGGGCCAGAGAGTCCAAACGTGCTCAAAATCTTCAGCGAGTCCGTGACCAATCTCCAAGCAGCCATATACACTCTCAACCAACGTTTTCATGATGCGCGCTTATCGAGAGACCTTTTGACTTCGGTGATAATTCCCCAGAAGAGCTCAAGAGTAACCGACGACACTCGTATACGAGTGTATCCCGATCAACGACCTCGAATATCCAAGCATTTTACCGAGCCTGATAATATGCCAAAAACTGTGGCAGCACTTCTCCATGAGCTTCGTCCGCATCTTCAAACTGCTTCAAAATGCCTTAAAAGTTCCAATTCCGAAATCAGGATGCGTGTGTCTTTCGCACTCTTGGATGACAATATATTCGGGAAAGGCCAAGCAGATCTAGTCAATTGGGATGACTACGCAGCTCAAGTGAAACTGTACTCACACCAAGGTGGACTTCATTTCAGCACTCGGTAGCTCTCACAGACAACCATACCCCCTCTTCATTTCTTGGTTGAATCTCCATACTGACTATATTTGAAGTTTTAGGGAATTCCGTCTTTCGAATTACATTATAAACCGTATGCTGGAATATGATGGTGCAGATGACCTTCGTCTGGATCGCAAAAGCGTGAAACGCACACACACTTTGTATCTCACCATGGGCGACGACAGAGAGTTAAAGGTAGAAAACTGGGCGAGCGATGAGTCCGCGTTATCCCGAGCCAAGCTTGGTCTTAGTTCGCCAGTCTCCTACATCGACTGGAAAGTGACGGCTCCAGAAATGTAAGTTTGCTATAAGAGGCCATCTAGTGTGCGTGCAGTACTGATACAATGAGGTGTTAGGATATTTGACTGGAGACTTCATGCAGAAACGTGGAAATACGAGAGCGTACCAAAAGAGCTCTTGAGACTACTCGAAACGCTAAAGCTCAGGGATGGCTGCAACGAGGATGAAACCAATTTTCTTCAGCCCTCCGCAGTAGTAGTGACCAAAGACCCTAGGTACTGGAGCCATGATATTTACCGGACTCGACTGAAGACATCGTTTATCGCAGAGTTTCAAGATAGTCCATATGTGCTGGAGATAGGTATAAATCAGGAGTGGGAGGGACTCAACACTCGTGCGCCAGAGAACAAGATTAATTGGCAAATGGAGTTTTATGGCAAACACTGGGATTCTGCAATGAATCAAGTCAACCCAGTTGACCAGAGAAAGGACTTTGGAGAAGGACTGAAGAACATTTGGGTTGGGTCGGATCCTGATCTAGAGAAGAGATTTGGGAACTTCTTGGAAGTCTTTTTGAAGGTCCAGCACCAGGTAAACTCTCTTCAAGATGATGAAGCAGATGATGAAGCAGAGAATGAAGCAGAGAATGAAGCAGAGAATGAAGCAGAGAATGAAGCAGATGATGAAGCAGAGGACGAAGCAGAGGACGAACAGGCAGAATAGACGTTTTCCGCTGCGAGCAGCTATTGGCCAGATAGATGGGCACATTACGCAATTCAGTTCATTATTCAATTTTTTTCTTCAGCTATCTCAGCTCTGGCCTTCTGATTGAGCAGCCATAATCTTTTGCCGTAAAACTGTCAAGACCTTATGATTAATAACTGTAGATGTTTCAGTTGAGCTGTGCAAACGTACCTTCTTCTATTGTGCGGACATTCATCTGTTTCGACTGAACAATCCCTTCCAGTTCCTTCAGGTTGTCACCAAGCTCTTTGACTTTTGTGTTGTAAAACTTTTCAGCCGATTTTAAGTTCTGCAGAGGGTTAACCATAGGGTTTACCAGCAAAACAGATGCAAGGCAAAGAAGCTCAACTGACCTTTTCAATCATAAACCCTGTGCCCACGTCCACCAGAACCGTCTCGGTACTCGTCAATTCGCCGCTTACGTATAGGGAGTTGGTCAACGGGACCAAAACCGCCTTTGAGCCTGTTTGCATCGCTGCCTTAGCACTATTTCCATTTCCGTGGCCTCTTTCTATCTGCGCGACCCGTCGGCTACCCTTGGGGATTGCGATGATGTATGTACCTTTGCTATCGGCGACTCGGCTTTGTACGCATCGGAGGCATTCTCTGAACTTGTTCTGGGCGCCGTGAAGCTGGGAGAAGGAGTTTGTGAGGTGTTCGAGCTCTTCCTCGAGCTGCTTCTTGACCTGCGCGAGCTGCTGGGGCTCGAGGGTGTCGAGGTTGACTAAAATATGCTGGAGTTAGCGCTACTGCTGCTGCTGCTGCTGCTGCTGCTGATGCTGCGCAAAGTGAAATCTTGAAGAGAGCAGAGATGAAGGATATAGAAACAATCGAGACTTACTTGCTTCTTTCTGGCCGCTCGACATGGCTGCTTGTGCTGCTTGTTTCGGGGGGATATAGTGGAAGCTTGGCCAAGCTGGACGTTAGGGAGTCGGTGCCCCTCCAAGCTTGAACCGCTGGGCGGATGACTGTAGAGGGGCTGGCGATTCTTGTAACGAGGACATGGAATCGCAGCTTTAATTTGCAGCACGGCTATTCAATCGCCACGAAAATGATTATGGATAAACAAGTTATTCACTTTAACTGATTCGGGTTTTTTTAATTCTTTATTTTATGTACTTTGGTCCAGATGGGAGATTTGTTGACTCTTCTGTCGCTGCACTCCTTCGCAGCTACTAGTATCTATAGCCGCTCCAGCAAAGTCCTGATATATTGGGGCACCTCTTCTGCCTTCACATTCTCCTTTACAGAGAGTCTCCTGCACTGCACTTCGCAGACGCCGTTTTCTCTCCAGGCCTTTCCGAGTACAACCACGACAGGATAGCCCGTCATGTCTGCGTCTTGCATTTTCCATCCAAATGCTTCTTTGCGGTCATCCAGGACGACGTCCAAGGCTGTCGCCGAATTTCCATTCTTTGTTAGGCCATCGTAGAAGTCCAGTGTCTGTTCATTGACGCCAGATGTTGGAATAATGACCACCTCAAACGGCGCAATAGCTCGAGGCCAGTTGAGCCCTTTATTGTCAGTGAGCTGTTCCGCCACGGCGCCGAGGATGCGAGAGACGCCGATGCCAAAGCAGCCCATCTGGGTTGGGACGGGAACCCCTGGGTTTTGTGGCAGCGCTACAGACGCTTCGAGCGGCTCTGAATAGCGTGTGCCAAGGAGAAATGTGTGGCCCAACTCCAATGCGCGATGAATCTCAAGCTTTCCCGAGTCACAGCGGGGGCAGCCGTCCCCATCTGCAATGCGCAAGAGATTTAGATTTGTCCCGGCTTGTGTTTGTGTTATTGACGATTGTGAGATGTCGCTATTCGTCCAATCTTGAGGGAGTAGAGGAAGCTCATCGCGGAGGCCTTCAAAAGCTCCTGAAAGTCTCGAATCAATGACGTTTAGGAGCTGGATTTCGTCACTCTTTCCCTTTGCCTCCTGTAAAACCTCGCTCCAGAACGGTGCGGCGTCACTGACGCTTGTATCTAGTTCCGGGACGACTGATTTGACAGCATGGATATTCCAGCTGTCATCTGAAGGCGAATCTCCAATCTTTGGGTACCACGCATTTATCAAAGTTTTCTTGTCCTTGGTGATGCCGCGCCAGAGACCGAAACTTGATGTAGAAATTGCACCGTCAATTTGTCTGGATGACCGAGCAGCGGCAACTTCGTCATTGGCGGTGTAGCCGCAATTGTTACAGCTTGCGACTGTGTCCTCTCCAATGGGATGAGAAAGGTGGTATTCATGGCTATGCTCTCCGCCCATGTCTCCTGAGCTGGCCTCGGCTACTAATATCGGCAGCTTCAAGTCTGAAAAGAAGGCCGAGTAGGCACCAGCGACGTCGCGATAAGTCTCGACGGCAGATTCGTGGGTCAAATCGAATGTGTACAAGTCTTTCATGATAAACTCACGAGATCTTAATAAGCCGTGCCTGGGACGGATCTCATCTCGGTACTTTCGTGCTAGCAGATCAGTTAGGAGCTGTGATATACCACAAAAGCTACCTAGGCTTAGAGGCTCATACTAATCTGGTATAACTTCAAAGGCAAGTCTTTATAAGACTTTAACGTGCTTGCGACAAGGGATGTGATTTCTTCTTCGTGTGTTGGTGACAGCATGATAGGCACATCCTTGCGATCTTTGAGTCGAAATAGCTTGCCTGAGTATTAGCAACGAGATGTCTGCAATTGGTAAAAACTGACATACCTCTGGTGAGACTTTATCCAAGCGCCCACTTTTGCGCCATAATTCTTCAGTAGTGAGAGTCGAGAGAGCAAGCTTGGATGCTCCTATAGAAAGATATTGATCAGTTGAGAAATACTCTCCATGAATTTTGATATGATTAACCTATGCTTTGCATATGCTTGTCAACAAGACGCTCAATTTTATCCTGAACTCGTAGGCCCAGTGGAAGCAGCTGAAAAACTCCAGATTGTGCCTGGGGAAACAAGCTAGATCAGTAAAACCATCTTGAAGTAGATGAAGTATGATATGAGGATCGGCCTACCTGGCGAAGAAATCCGGCTCGGATGAGCTTGCCATGACCAGCTACCGAGCAATTAGCTCGACATTCCGTCACACCGATAAGCAAATAGCTTCATACTTTCGCCCTCAGTGGCCGTGACACCACCAGTGGGCACCCATATCTTCGACAGGGTTGATCTAAGCCGAGTGGACTGAGCAAAAAACGGCAGTGAAAAGACTCGGATGTGGTTCGAGGTTTGAGCGGCTGTTAGTGGGCGAAGTCCGCCGCGGTAAATCAAATTTGAAGCACGCATGTTCAGCGATCGACACTTCAATCCATTCTAAAATTTACATAATTATCCAGAAACGATAGTGATTATGCACCTCACAACGAGACAAGTCTCAACATGGCCACCAATGAAGAGCGAGTGTTAGATCCAAGACAACTGAGATGGTCCCTTAGACGCGCTGCGCTAAGAGTAGCCGCGATAAACGCCCGCATTTGATGGGGCGATAAGATAAGAAATATTTCAAAAAAATACTTGCATCGAATCGCATTCTGAATCTGAAATTTGAAGCAGCCAATTTTACCACCTAGACAGCGGCGCATCTACGCTATGGCGAAGCAATCCAAGAAAAGCAAAGGGCCGAAGCGCTCGAACGACTATGCGGCGCGCCTTCAGAACGGAATGTCTCAAATCACTTCTCAAATTGAAGCGAAATTGAACGGCAATCCATACAAGCGAAAGAATCCGCCTACTGAAGTGTCTGGCAAGCAGAAACAGCGAAAGCAGCGCGATTCCGAGGGCGCACCAGCCACGAACGGCACCAGCGATGATAAAGATGCTTTGCTAGCTGAGATTAAGGCCCTGGGAGGAGATGAAGAGGACTGGCACCTGATCAACGACGTTGCATCTGATGATGAAGTTACTTCAGGATCAAAGGCACCGGTAGACAAGGGACTGAAGGATGAACTAGCAGCTCTTTCAAAAGAACTTGGTTTCTCCGGAATGATACCCGATGATGCTAGCGACGAAGAGGAGGAGGAGGAGGACGTAGAAGAAGAAGACGAAGAAGAAGACGATGATGAGAGCGAGGAAGAGGTCAGCAACAAGAATAAGAACAAGGGCAAAAGCGAAACCCTCAAAGCCCCAAAAGAAAAGGGACCCGCAGAGAATGAAATGCGAAGGGTTGAAGGCCTGGTAAGTTGATATCCTTGAGTCAATGGCATCTCTGACAACTAACTTAGTAAACTAGATTTTCGAACCGCGCGCGGACTGGCACGCTGCCAGGTTGGCCCAACTGCCTGAACCCCAAGTCGATGACATTGGTCCCTTCATGTCGGCCATAAACTCACTAAAAGAGCATGGAAAATATCTCTTGGAGACAGAGGCGGCGAAATATAGAACGACCATCTTTGCGTCTTCATCTCACAAATTTCTTGCCACCATCATGACATCTGGTACTCTTACAGACAAGATTTCCGCCCTCACCTTGGCTTGTCAAGAGTCCCCCGTTCACAACATTCGCGCATTCGATTCTTTGATGAACCTGGCTTCCAAGAAAAGCCGAGCCCAAGCCATTGGAGCTATAGGAGCACTCGTGGATATGCTCGGCCCCGGCACAGTGCTGCCATCAGACCGACGATTGAGGAACTTTCAAGCTCAGCCTGGGCTTCTGGGCTCTCTTCAACGCGCTTCCGCCAAAATTTGGGCTCCAAGCCAGCCGCTTCCTGGTAAAATTACACAAGCTCATTTGATCTCTTGGGCTTACGAAGACTGGTTGAAGGACACTTATTTCAAAATGATCCAGCTCTTGGAAGTCTGGTGCTCTGATGAAATTGAGTATTCAAGAATGAGAGCCGTCGACTTTGTCTATGCCTTACTCAAGGACAAGCCGGAACAGGAATCAAACCTTCTCACTCTCCTGGTTAACAAGCTTGGCGATCGCGACCGAAAGATCTCTTCCCGAGCTTCATATCTTCTCTTGCAGCTGCAAAATTCACATCCTGGCATGAGGCCGATCATCGTGCGAACAATAGAACAGGAGATCCTTCTTCGACCTTCAGCAGATCATCGAGTGCGCTACTATGCCATCAACACGCTCAACCAAACAATTCTCTCAAACAAAGAGCCAGCAGTGGCTGAGTCCCTTCTTCGCATCTACTTTGGCCTTTTCGCCACAATTCTCAAAACTGGAAAGCTTGGAATGCCGACAGAGGATGAACCCAACAAGACGCAGAAATCTGGCAAAGGCTCGTTCGGAAAGAAGGGCAAACAGTTCAAGGCTGCAGCCCCATCTATCCCAGAAGCCGAGGCGACTGATAAGCTTGTGTCTGCCCTGTTGACCGGTGTGAACCGTGCCGCACCATTTGTAGGCACCAACGATACGGTGTAAGTACTTACAAAACAACTAATGCTATGCTGTGCCTCTGTGGATGCTAATGACTTGTCACTAGTTTGGAACGCCATCTTGATACTCTCTTCAAAATTGCGCACTCTGCCAACTTCAACACCGGTATCCAAGCTCTACTCTTAATTCAGCATCTCTCTACGACAAAAAATATGGGCAGCGACCGCTTCTATCGGACGCTGTACGAGTCACTGCTGGATCCACGTCTCATAAACTCTTCAAAACAAGCGCTTTACTTGAATCTGTTACTGCGAGCACTGAAGAACGATGTTGATGTGAGAAGAGTCAAGGCTTTCGCAAAGCGAATGCTGCAGGTATCAGGTCTCCACCAGCCCCCCTTTATCTGTGGTTTGCTCTACGTTATCTCTCATCTAAGGCAAACCTTTCCTGATATTTCAACGCTGGTTGAGGAACCGGAAGAATCAGTATTTGATGATGAGGCGCCTGAGGACCGTCCAACGTACGATGGGCGCAAAAGAGATCCCGTACACAGCAACGCTCATAGAAGCTGTTTGTGGGAAATGGTATGTTCACTCTCTTACAGCCACACAATGTGCAATACGAATGACTAATCCATTGTTCCAGGTTCCTATTCAACAGCACTTCCACCCAGCCGTGGAGAGATTCGCCTCTGCGCTGCTGGATCGAAACCAGAAGATGATGAAGCCCGATATGGAGAGCCACACTCTCATCAAGTTTCTGGATAAGTTCGTCTACAGGAACGCAAAGGCTTCAGATACTCGTGGTGCTTCTATTATGCAGCCTCTCAAGGCGGCCAAGGACATTGGAGATATTTGGCTCGGTGGTGGGCGCAGCAGCGCATCTACAACACAAGTCAACTCTGCTGCATTCTGGAATAAGAAGGCAGACGACGTGGCAGCTGAAGATGTCTTCTTCCACAAATACTTCCAGCACGTTTCCAAGGAGCCCAAGGAATCTACTAAGAAGGCACGCGCGACAGGCGACGCAGAGGCAGATGAAGATGCGGAAGAGGATGAAATCTGGAAGGCACTGGTTAATGCCCAGCCTGACATCGACGAAGATGCTTCTGATGCTGGCTTTGACGATTTGGATGAGCTGGATATGGCATCTGACGACGATTCCTCGCCTGCCCTGTCACTGGATGGCGATGATGATGAGGAGGACGAGGATGATGACATGGGCGTAGAGTTCAATGACTTTTCAGACGAAGAGGATGTCGACGAAGAGGATGGCCTGGTTGCCCCTGATGTGGCCAAGTCAGACAAAGAGAAGGGCGACAAGCGCAGGGCTAGGAAGAAGATGCTCAAGGGCCTGCCTACGTTTGCGTCTGTGGATGACTATGCAGAGCTTTTGGCAGGAGAAGAAGATGACTTGTAAAAATAGACAAAGAGATGTTAATAAGAGGGAAAATAATTGTTTTGAGGCGGCGAGAATTCAAGCGGCTACGAAATACTTGGAGCATTCGGGTATAAGTGGTGTGTAAGTGGTATGTACAGTAAAGGGGTCTCTTCTTTTTTTTTCCCTTCCCGGGCCAGAGGCGAATAGGCGATGAGTTTTTTTATGAATGCTATCTTCTCGCGATCATCAAGAAAACTATACACACCTTTGCTGGATTTCTCCTTCTAATTCATCGCAGCCATGAATAAAAGATACGGCAGCCAAATAAGGAAAATATTCCCGACCAATAATCACTTGGATAGAGCCGAGGCTCTCCCCCACACCGAGTTCGGATACGCCGAACGGTCTAAGCCGCAAGGTTGGCTAGAATCGGGCTAACAGGGCACCGATAAGCCCGTATCAGTTTATCTTATCGGCAAATAAATGCGCCAACAAAGGCGTGATGGAGGTGCCGTAAATTAGGCGCGCAATCGGATCGCCTTTGCCTCGGTAATTCCCGCTTCTTTTTAATACAATCGTCTTGCTTCTCTAATTTTTTGTTGTTCTTTTTGTCTTGTTTCTTTTATTAGAGGGGACGTGCGACGAAAGTTGGGATTAAGGAGAAAAGAGAGAGAGAAAAGAGATATTTGGCAGAATGTTTGGTCAACAAGTTGCTCGTGGCGGGCGCCGAATCGGTCAGATCGCTCGAAGTGGCCAACAGTCGCCGCTTGCTGCGATCAAAGGGGCCGGTCAGCGACGATGCTATGCTGAGGCTGCACAGGGTGAGTCTTGTCTCTATGTGTGTTTATTGAGTGGCGTACGGGATGTTGGCTAACGTTGGGATTCTTTTCCATAGCCGCGGCAGCTCCCAAGGGACGAGTCGGACGAGGTCTCGGCCTAATCCTCTACGGCGTCGCATTTGGAAGCATCGGAGCAGCAGCAACATGGTACTCGATGGTACAGCAGGGCTTTTCTCACTTCACAGACGCCGAGACTTCGAAGCTGTTTGTGCCCGACACCGACGAGATCCAGCGCATCGAAGACACAATCAACAACCACCCGCTGGTCAAGGAACTGCGATCACGGCCCGAGTTCAAGGAGTCGCGGCCGCACCTCAAGATGGCGAATGGCATCCGCAACCAGAGCCTCACCGCCGGCGTCCTGCAGGGCAACGGCAAGATGGTGGTCCCTCCAATCGCATTCATCGAAGACGGCGGAAAGTCCATTGTCAGCATCACCTACATCGGCGACCAGGTCTGCGGCCACCCGGGCCTTGTCCACGGAGGGTTCCTGGCGACGATGCTGGACGAAGGCATGGCGCGGGGATGCTTTGGCGCGCTGCCGCACAACATTGCCGTGACGGCCAACCTGGAGGTCAACTATCGCAAGCCGACGCCGGCGAATAGCTTCCTGGTGCTTCGCGGAACGACGACAAAGGTCGAGGGACGCAAGGCGTGGTCTGTGGGAAGCATCGAGACGTTGCCGGAGCCGGGCGAGAAGCCGACGGTGTTGGTCGAGGCGAAGGGACTGTTCATCTCGCCCAAGTATGCAGCCGTAAGTTTGACCGTTTGTTGAACTTTTTCTATGCGTGGCGCTGACATAATAATTTAGTTGATGCCCTCAATTGTATAAGCATTTATATGGAATAGCGGACTGCTGAGAGCGGGCGAGATTGGTCGGGCTGACGATGCGGTGGCTGGAGATTAGGAACGCGGCATCTTTCTTTTTTACTTTGCTTTGACTTGCATTGCTCTTTTAATCATTTTACTTTTATTCCTGGGAGAAAGCGACAGGAGGCATCGGATATACACACAGAGTTATCAGATACATTACATGAGGATATACGTTGTACATATGAGATAATAGAGGGTACTTGTTAGTACCTAGAGGTTTAGAGTAGACGAAGGATTGTCTTTTACAGCGATTAGGAAGAACCGAGCCTTTTTGATGCTTTACATTGGCATAAAACAACCACATAGAGACTCATCATCAGTGAAACGACATGCCAGGTAGGTAGCTATACTGCTTACAAAGAAGGAAGAAAAAAGCCTTTTAGCATAAAAAACAGCGGGGATCACACAGCGGAAGTCGGCGGTTTCGGGCTGTCGCCATCAGCCTCCTCAATGAGCACATCATCCCCCTTGGCGTAGTTTGCCCAACGATCTCTAGAAAAGCTGCCTTTATATGGGGTTGAGTGTGGGTTTTTTTCTTGTCTAGACTAGATTGTAACTTATTTTTTTTGTTAGTACTAGCAGTACGCGGAGAAGAAATAACGGCTGGCGATGACGGCGAGGGCCCGAAATGTCATGGTGGAAGTAGGTACGTACGCATGCAGAATGATCGCCCATCTCGCATATCGCCATTAAACCGTCCATCCCTTTATATATCGCAACTCTTATTTCCACACCTCTTTCCATTGACTTTCTCCCCATCGTCTTTTTTTATCTACTTTATTTTTCTGTCTTTGTTAAACAAGCGACGTATCTCATTGGAATTCCATTTTCCTTGTTAAATCCCGTCTCATATACACAATGGCCACGTGCGTAACCCGTCTATATTGCCCCTCCCCCGCCTTGCGACAGTTGAGGCTCGCTCTCCTCCAAAAGCCCATTATCACGACTTTTCCCACCACTTCTCCAGATGATGCGCTCCTCGCGCAAACAATACTACACACGCTCATTAATATAATTACAAAGCAAAAACCAAGTCGCTAACTCCAGCATCCCAACAGCAACATCACCTGGCATCCGTCCCTCTCCCGCCGCGAGCGCAACCAGCTGCGCTCCCAGCGCGGCCTCACAATCTGGCTGACGGGCCTCTCCGCCTCGGGCAAGTCCACCGTCGCCACCGCCCTGGAGCAGCACCTCCTGCACCTGGGCCTCTCCGCCTACCGCCTCGACGGCGATAACGTGCGCTTCGGCCTCAACAAGGACCTGGGCTTCTCCGAGGCCGACCGCAACGAGAACATCCGCCGCATCGGCGAGGTCGCCAAGCTCTTTGCCGACTCGGCCACCATTGCCATCACCTCCTTCATCTCGCCCTACCGCGCCGACCGCGATCTTGCGCGCCAGCTGCACGCCCAGACCAACCAGGACGCCGACGAGCCCATTCCCTTTATCGAGGTTTTTGTCGACGTGCCCCTCGAAGTGGCTGAGCAGCGCGACCCCAAGGGCCTGTACAAAAAGGCCCGCGCTGGCGAGATCAAGGAGTTCACTGGCATCTCTGCGCCGTATGAGGAGCCTTTGAACGCCGAGATTACAATCAAGACTCACGAGAATACCGTCGAGGAATGCGTTGCGCAGATCACAAACTGGCTCAGTGAAAAGGGCTACATTAAGAGCGCAGAGGTCAAGAATTAAAAAAGCAACAATAAAAATAACGAAAATGCAGTAACAAAAGTCATATTGGGATTCAAGTGTAAGATGAGGACACCCATGGTTAATGGGCTGTAGATGCTATTTGCCTTTGTCACTCTAGACCTCTTTCCTAGAAGGTCTTAGAAGGTTGATTGATTGATTGATAGAGAAGAAGAGGGAAACGGAAAATGTGAAACATTGTCTTTAAAAGTCTTTAGAAGAAAGTTGAACCGACAAACATAGAATACAGGCGCATGACGCTTTTAGAAAGAAATTCTCTCTATATCCGCTTCAGGGAAATTCAGCCTCATAATAAACAAAAGCCGTGTACTCGTTTCCTTCGCCGGTCCCTAATCCCGCCGCGGCCATCTCTGAGCTAAGGGCAGCATCGTCTTTCGTGACCCTACCGTGCTTATCCCTTCCGAACGCATTTCCGCCCAGGTATGAGTACTTTGAGTCCAACGCTGCCTTTGCCTTGGGGGCCAGCTTCGGTGTTGTCTGTTTCAGAGGTAGTTAGCAGCCATAGGTAAATAGTAACGCGGCATCAAGTCAAAGAAAGGGTCAGGGTTATGGACAGGCCAGGCGTAAAGAGTAAATAGCATGATGTAGCATACCTTGATCAGAGCTGTGGCATAGTCCAGCGGCAATCCGTATCGCAATACAGCCTCAACAAAGACGCGCAAGGTAAGGACATGCACCCAAATCATGACACTTTCGCTCCATCCAGTCCTTCCCATGCGCAGAGCTTCGCCACAGACCTTGCGCTCTTCGTTGGTCACACGATCCAGCTCTCGCTGCTCTTCTTCGCGGCCGCCTTCGACATATTTGTACTGACGAGGTGTCCACTTCTGCTCTCGGCACTTGTGGACAAACTCGGCGCTATGCTTCTTAAAAGTCACGACGGCGAACAGCGTGAACTCATCGTCGTGGTCGATCTCTACGGACGATCGAGGCACCACCATGGGTGCGAGGGTTTCGTAGCTCTTAATAAAATCTTTCTTCGCATTCGTCGGCACGGCAATGAGGTGAGTTTCAAGGTACTCTGAGTCTTGAACGAGCAGGGATGGCTTTACGATTGGGGTGAGAGATTTCGTCGCGAGGGTGCCACTGCAGCCGAATCAAGCCAATTAGCTAGGAGCAAATAGACAGATGGACAGTACTTACGTCTGTCTCCTTTGGAGCTGTGCAAGATTTGTCTTGACGGCGTTGTACTGGTTGAACTTGGACTTGACGTCGTTGTCGACTGTGTTGAGCTCCTGGACCTCAGTTAGGACGGGCTTCTCTAAACAAAACCGGCATTGTGCCGGCAACGAAGAAAGAGAGGGGTAAAGCCCATACCTTCTGAAGAGTGCCGATGAGATCAGCAATGGGCTTGTCGGCTCGGTATCTCATCTTGTTCCAGCTAAAGTTGCGCAGATAGTGATCGGTCGGCTCTGCCACAAGCTGTCAGCCCCACCATCCACATCATCCATATAGAAGCGCATATCTGGCTCGACTAACTATCGTTGACCATCTTGTACGAGGCCATCCGGTCCTCGTCATTGTTGAGCACCGTGCGCAAGGAATCCGCAACCTTGGCGACGACTGACTGGCACGCACCCTCGAGCTTGGCCAAGTCATCGGCTTGCTGGACGAGCAGGTCTAGAGTTCCGATTTTGAAGTCGGGGATGCTAAACGGCAGCACAGAGCCATTGTCGGACGTTATTGTCGCACTTAGGGACGAGATAGCCTCATCGCGGTCCCCAGAGTCGAACGCGCTCTGGGGCAGCGATATCAACGCATATCTTGACATGGCGGTGGTGACGAAAAACGGAGGTAGAAGTAGACCCGACGAGAAGAAGACGAGGAGAATGAGGCGAGAAACAAATAACGAGAGGAAGAGATAATGAAAGAAGGCTTAGCTAGATGGAAGCTCTCACGTGCAGGCTCAGCAAACAATCGTAGCTTTCTCCTTGAAAGAGAAGCAGCAGCGCTCGAGAGAAGCTTCGATCGACAGCTTAGCTACATGTATAGATTGCGACGCAGAAGCAGTTCGCGAGCATTGCCTTGGAGGTCCAGTGACAGTCCAGCTAGCAGCTCCGGTAGTGGGGGCGGCGCTCAGGTACTCAGTACGAGGCGCTGCGTGCAGGAAGCAATCTGAGACAGGCGACCCAAAGTAGCGAGTACCTCGACTGAGACGCCCCGTTAAATGCCAGCCCCTCGCCTTGCGTGGAATAAGCTCGGCATTGCGCTCTGCAGCTCGCACCTATATAACAATATTCGTCTGTGCGATGCCCTTTTCCGTGGCGCTGCCGCTCCCCGTAAGATGCATAAAACCCACGGCGCTCCGCCAGCGCTAGTCTGCTCTGGGTCGACAACATCAAGAGGACGATTTGCGCCGTGCACCGCCAACTCTTCTGGTCAGGCCATGGACATGACAACAGCCTGCAAAACGCGACCTCAAGGCGTCTGAAGGCGATACAAACGACCGTTGACCGCCCCGCAGTTCCGGACCATGTGAGGCGCCCCGAGACGGCAATTCCGGCGCCAGTTTGTTTGCTCTCGCTCGTCTTCTCCTTCGTCCTCGGCCAAAACACCATTCCGTCTCTGCCCTACACCCAGGCGGCCCTCTGCATCCTTCTCGAGCCCCAATTCGCCTCGCCCACGCGTGGGCATGAAGTGGTCTGCGGGCGCATCATCCCGGGACCTCTCCCAGCGCCATGGCCGCAGCCACAGGTTCGTCCCCTCGCCTGGTGCCTTTTCCGCCACCGTCCCGGCCCGTGTTGTCGCTGACCTTGCCCGTAGCAGCTTCTGCGACCATCATCCTCGGCGATTCTCCTGTGACTGAAGACGTGGCCCCCAAGGCTGGCGGCGCGCCGGAATCGTCTGCAATCCCCGGCAAAAGGTCTTCAACGCCGATCCGCACTTCTAGTCATGGTACGTAGGCGCAATGCTTCGTTGGGTCCGATCGAGCGGCTTTTGAGAGAATGAATATGCTCATTGCAATGCTCAGATGTCATCGATGGCCCGGATGGAGCCTCCATCCATACCACAGATGGCCGAGTCAAGAATCCTGTACCCAGCAAACTCAAGGGCAAGGCCGACAACAAGAACGGCAACTTTGGCGTAATGCACATCGATATAAATAGCTCACAGGCTGCCTTGCGGAATGCTGCCGCAAAGCGCACAAGCGAAGAGACGGAGGCGGCGGCGAGGCTGGCCAACATGCGCGGCTACCAATCCATCAAACGCAGCAAATTGGCGTGGAACCCGCAGACCGAATCAGACCCGCGATCTTCAGCCCCCGCGTACGGAGCTTCGCAAAATGGCTATCTCAATCCTCCCTACTCGCTCCCTGGACGCCCCCTGGGACCTTTACCGCATGAAGCCAAAGCTGAGCAAGCTCGGCTCCTCACTCTGCTGCGCAGCTTAAATCCTTTGGTGGTGGTGGATCAGATGTGTAAAGCGCTGGCATACTTTGGAGGCATTCCCGGCGCGCCTTCATCGCACGAATTCGACTTCCCAGACAGCGGACGCAACAATGGTCAGGGATCCATTTTTGTCGGCTGGGTCGCCGAGATATTCCCTCCAGTCGAGGGGAACCCTTCAGCGCTGGCGCTTCACCCATCTTTGCAAACCGCAGATATAGCCTCTGCCGCTGCTCCTACCGCCGTCGTTGCTCTAGATGCTCCCGCATCCGCACCAACTCAGGCTCCAGCTTTACCCGATTCCGCCAATACCGCCGCTCCTCCTGCTCAGCCAGCCTCTACAGCATCTCTATCCGAACCTGCCCGCAATCCTCCAGAGGGGCAGAATGTCACTGGTGAAGCTACCGCGACTCCTGTCAAAAGACCGCGAGGACGGCCAAAGGGGAGTAAAAGCTCCAAGCCTCGCATAGATAAAGGCATGAAAAAGTCGGATCTGGCGCTGCATTCGTCCAGCCAAGTCGATGGAGGCGGCTCCCAGTTATCCCAGTCTGATCTGGGGAGAAGGCCCGATGGATCTGTCGAGCAATCTCAAAATGGGCTCGTTAACCCTGCGTATCATGGCGATATGCCAGGCCATCTTGACCCTGATTCTAGCATCATGAGCACTCCGGGAACGGGCAAGAAGAGAGGTCGCCCTAAAGGATCTAAAAATCGACCAAAGAATACTCCTGAAGCTGGCCAGGCGGCTTCAGAGAATCCTCACGCTTTATTACCTGCTTCTTCAACCTCCAATCCCATTGCACAGTCTCCTTTATCACACAAAGCAACTGATGGTCAGAATAATATTTCATCCTTTGCAAATACGATGCCTCCCAGGCCAGAACAGCACCAACATCCCTCACCCCCGCTGCCAGAGAACGCAACAACGCAGCACGCCGCACACATAGCCAACCGTGCTCCTCAAGGAAGCCAGCCAGCGTTCCCGGCTGTAAGTAGCTGGGCTGGAGCAGCAATGCAATCGTTGGATCAATTTCGCTCCATCAACAATCACTCACATCCTAAGAAGAGAAAGGGGGGTGATCCGGCTCAGGTCGCTAGAGAGTCCTTGGCAACAATCGCCGCAACTGACCCTTCATCGCATATGCGACAAGGCGATGATACTCCGCTACATAACACTGCGTCTGATCAGACTCACATGAAGCGCCGACGTGTGTCGCGAGAATCGCTTCAGAACCCCATTTTCAATAACATTGACCCTCAGCCCGGCCGAGTAGGTATGACCACATCACCTGTTCTGAATAACAGCTACAACAGCATCTCTCAAACCATGGCTTCCAACAGCTTTGATACCCAGCTAGCTAATGCTAGTGCTGCTGTGAGACAAGCCTCGAGTCAACAGCATTTGCAACAACAACAGCAGCCACACCACCATCATTCGCAGCGGTCACCAACACAGCCTCAGCCTCAGGGTCAGACTCAGTCACTTCAAAACCAGCCGCAGCCGCAGCCTCAACCTCAACCTCAATCTCAGCCTCAGTCTCAGCAGTATGCACCCCAGAGACCTCATCCGCAGAATGCAGGGATGCGGCCTCCGCTACAGCTTCAGCATATGCCACCAGGGTCTTCAAGACCTAGAGCCCCGAGCCAGATGTACGGAAGCAGCCCAACGAGCATGTCCTCGCAAGGCTTCTATAGCCAGGCTAGGCAGCTGCCGGGCCAGCTAGGACATGCAGCCACCAATAGTGGTAGCTTTGCTAGAGGCACCGGCAGCAACCAAGCCTCGCCGTTTGGGTCTTCTTCCAATTCCAATATGGCACGGCAGAGCTCCAACGACGCCCGCACAGCCAGCTTATCACAGCAAGCATCTCTGGCAATTTCGCGCAGCCAATCGGGCCATACCCCGACAGCTCGCCACGCATCTTCTGACTTTGCCAGCAGCCAGCAAGTCCCAGCAACTTCGGCTTCAGCGCCTTCAACAACTGGCCTGGGCCATTTCTCGTCCTTTACGGAACATAGCTACCTTGACATGGACTATGGCTTGAATGAGCGCGACGTGCAAGACTCTGCGGCGGCTTTTGGCGACTCTACGCCGCTTGATGTGGCCATGGTTGAGCCTAACATGAGAGGGGGGCTATATCAAGCCATGGGTCGCCCATAAGATGGCGTTTAAAATAGAGCGTGTTTTTTATTTTCAATCTTCTTTGATCTTGATCTCTTGGTTGAATATGTACGTTTTGGCGTTGTAATGAGAGAAAAAAAAGAAAAGCAACGCATCAGAGGGAGTTTATCAGCAGCAGAATCTCACCCCCTTTAAGTAAAACGGGGCTGTTTTCAGACTTTTTTTTTTTTCTTTTTCTTTTTTTGTCTGGCGCACAAATTATCAGGATGGGTTTCAGGGAGTATAGGCAAATCTGGTTTATTTTCCTATCTTTTTTTCCCCCTTGGACAGATGAGGCTTATGATGAGAGTGTATGAGAGAGCGTACAGTTTATGCATGGTGCTATGATGTTTTTTTTACCCCCTTTTTCTTTTATCATTTCTTATTCACAGATGAGAGAAAAAAATGTTTCGACAGATTTTGTATCTGTGGGAGGGAATCTATTCATCCTCTTGTCTGTTATCACGGCTGAACCAGAAGGGGTGACAGCAGAGCCGTAGACGCAACACGACAAAAGGGTCCAGACGTTTATTCTCTAGGTAGTCGCACAAAGAGGTGTATGTGTATATATACTGGGGTCTACGTTCATATATAAGTATATATATATATATATATAAGCAAAGCGTCACAAGCGAAAATAAAACGGAGTACGTATCAGTCCAAGTTTAATTTGAAATATGTTTTCTGTATTTTTTGCGACTAAATATAGAATTTTAGTCGAGGGCCAAAAGTTTTCTTCTTCGCTAGACATATTGAAGAATGAATGAGAGTGTACAATACACAAGAAAAAATCGAAAAGTTGGCTTGTCAAAAAACAGAGGGAAAGAAAAGTAAACAAAAAGCAAAAAAGGTAAAAAAATAAAAATAAAAAAACAACAGCTTGGTTTACCAGATAGAGATAAGACAAGATAAGAGAGATTTTGCGCAAGATCTATGCGTGCGGCTAACAGCTGCGCCAATGCAGGATAAAACAGGTATTTTTTAAACCCAGGCATGACAACAGATCAGGAGGCGTTTTAAATAGCCCGAATAAAAGAAGAGACTGGAAAAAGGAAAAGTCTTTAAGAAGGAAGGGATATGACAAGTGATATAGTAGAAACAAAGCAAAAGAACAAGCAGCCACAGTACAAAAGCCCAAAGTAATCCACACAACCATTGGAATCCGTAATCTCGCGGATTCTTCCCATACCCAGAAAAAGAAAACGCCTCGTAAATGCTTCTTTGTGTCAAAACGGACACACATACACAAGGAAATAATGGTGTAAGCAGAAGAGTTCTTGCTTCAGTATCAGAAAAAAAAAGATAAGACACTCGATCATGACGAGCATAAATATGTATAAATATGGAAGGAGGAGAAGTGAGTCGCATATATCGTCGGTGAGATTGATAGGGGAGATGATTCTTTAATCTCCATCGTCGCCGAGAGCTGCGGCTGGCGGCCTGACAGATTCGGACATGTGGCGACCATAGTACCATTCATCTGATTCGTCCAGGCCATCTTCTCCTATAAGATCCAGCATAACCTGCTGGTTTCGTTTTATGTCTTGCGGCCGTTGCACGATTTTTCGATCCATAATCATGGCCTCTGCCGTTGCCAGCCATATTTGCTGCAGCTGTGGCAGGTCCCCTAGTAAAGTCCTGGCCTGGTCGCGATCAAGAGGTGGCATCGGCGCATCGGCGGAAAGACTGCTGTTGAAGACGCTATATGGGATAAAGCCTCCGTTGTGGGTCGAGTCTACTGATCCCCATGGACTCCTACGGCCCCCTTCGCTGAACGATGATCGGTTCGGAGGTCGGTCGCCGCTTGTTGACTTCTTTCGCCCAAACCCTTTCAATCCCAGTCGGCCCTTGGCAGGTGCTTCAACCACAGGTTCCTTGGTGAGGGAGCAGAACCAAACATCAACAGCGGCCCGTCGGTTATTATAGCCCTTTGTCTCCCACAACCTTTCCACCTGACGAAGCCCACCAAGACACAAGATGGCCACATGAACCTCGTCGGGGGGTCGTTCCCTCAGATAACCACGAAGGGATCGTTCCACTCGACCGACATACGTCGGCGGTCGCAGGCGGCGGCAAAAGGAGGATATGATGAGCGGGAAGACCTCGTGTACTCTCAGCAGTGTCCGGTTGTCGTACATGTTCATGATTTCTGTTTCGATCGGATTCACTGTGTACGGTTCCTTCAGCAGCCCATGTCCTTTTTCCGCAATGTATTTCAGGTGCAATTTTCGGTACGTCTCGAAAAAGTGGAAAACGGTGAAGAGCAAAGGAATCAGTCGTCGGCGCATACGTTCGTGCTGCGGTGCGAAGGCTAATTTCTGAGCTTCTGTTGTTCTTAGGAAGATATCTTTTGTGATCCATTCACACATCAGATATGACAGCTTAGCCGCAACATGGAGGCGGTGCCATAGGCCACACAGATAATGGAAATTGATGTCGCAGGAGTCTCTAAGCGGGTATAGACGAGTGGCATAGGCGGGTATATTATGGTCGAGGTGATATCGTACAATGGGGACTTCGTTGAGGGTGATGAGCGCATGCCATGATTTGGAGGTTAATCGGAGGTTGAGAATATCGGTTAGAGGGAGAGACGAGACGATCTGAATCTGGAGTTCGCTCGGCAGTGCGAGTAAGAGCTGATCAAGAGGAACACTAGACGTGGCGAAGAAGACAAACTCAAAATTAGCACTGATTTTAACCTTGTTGTAGTTGACAGGCTGGACAAGACAAGACGCACCTTTTTCGCGTCGATTCCGTGGAAGCTCTTGAAGGCGCTATAAACGAAGCTTCCACCGCATCGGGCTTGGAATGTAATAAAGATACTTTGTGTCGACTGAAAAACCCTCTCTTGTCGCGTTTCGAGTCGGCCGGCTTGACAGCATCGAACTCGGCCGGTTTCGGGTCTCGCAGCGGCAGGATGAATCTCGACGGGGGAGAGGCGTGGAAGATGGTGGCCGTTGCCGCGGCGCTGGATTCCGCATGATCCGCCTGCTGCTGGTTGTTGGCATGCAGCTGGCTGAGCTTCTCAAAGTAGCGCTCCGAGGCAAACTCGGTGATGTGCGGCGGATCCATGGCGGCGACGCGGCGCTGATGCTCTGCAGCCATGGTGGGCGATGGCGATGGCGATGGCGATGGCGACGGAGGCCAGGAGAACGAGTGACGAGGAGCGATTCTCTACGGGAGACGAGCGGCCGCGCTGGCCAGCTCGGAGGGTTGAAGACTCTCTATTACTGGGCGCAGGGAGAGAGCAGCGGTCCTAACATGGCGGGGAATGGTATGGCGACAGCCGGTAGGTAGGGAGGGAGCGAGGAGAGAGGGAGCAGCGGCAGCGCAGTGACGGCTCACGATGCGTCTGTTGTTTTGTCTCGTCTTGTCTCGTCTCGTGCTGGGCTGGGCCGGGTCGAGCGCTCTGCCACTGTGTTTGTCCGTCTCTAAGCGCGCGACGGATTCGGTGCCGGGTGCGGATGCGGTTTGGAGATGCGAGGCGGAAAAAATAAAAAGAGAAAATTAAAGACGCAGGTGCTACGCGATGCTGGCAGGACAAGGCTCTCGACAGACTGGGCGAGGATGAGGAAATGAGGAGGACCAGGCCCGACCAGTCCAAGTGTGGGAGTAAGGAACCTGCGATAATGGGGAAGAAAACGAGCGAGTGGATGCTGGCATGTGTGGGCGGTGGAACAGTGGAACAGGGCCCGCTAGCAGCACGGCTTAGTGGCAGCCGGGGGATCTTGGGAACGCTGGGGACGCCAGAGAGGAAGAAGAAAAATAGAAACCAGACGCTGGCAAAAGGGCCGCGGTGCAGGCTCTGCAACCTTTGCGAAGGGCTCGAGAAGGGCGAGGGAATGCGCGAGCGCTGATTCGCCCAGGCGGCCGTTTGGCCGGCGTAATAGTGGAGCGGCACGGAAAAAGGTGCTGGAGCCAGCTTGGGCGCACAGTGCGCGGCGCGCTGGTGCAGCTGGTGCTTGGCACGCAGCAAAAGCGCTGCGCCGGGCCTCGGGAGCGCGCCAGCCCAGGGCAGCTCCGTACAGTGCGCCGTCTGCCTTGGGCCAACGTCCGGGGCATCTGGGGCTGGCGCCTTTAGGAGAGGGGGCGCCTCCGCTCCCCAAAGAATGCCCCCCAGAGGCGTGCTGTTCACGTCTTTCGCCCTCTGTGGGGCCAGGGCAGTCGGGCCGCACAGTAGCGCCGCGAGCGAATCCGCACGATGGCAGGTCCCCGGCGCAGCCATGGCAGGGGAAAGTCTATCCGTGGCAAAGCTTCGGCTGAGACTCGCTGGAACCCGTCGTCGCAATGTACTAGGTCGTATCGCCAGGCCGTGGTGCCAGCGGCCAGTGGCCGGCGCCTTTGCCCCGAGGTACTTGTGTAGTGACCTCTTGGTGCTCGCACTTGCATCCGTCGCGTGCGCTGCTGAGATTTTCGCATTTAGCCGAATAGGCCAAGGCGTACAGTGCCAATTCCGCACTAAGACCAAGCAGCACCATCACAATCAAGCTCAATTCAGTCACTCTCCAGACGTCAGCCCAAAGCCGCCGGCGCGCAATGTGCGCAAAGCATGCTCACCGTGCGCGGCGTGCGTCGACCACGCAAAGTCAGCAAAGGGGGAAAAAAAAGTCAAAAGCACAAAAAGTTACCGCTACGGGGCTCCTGTTCGCGACGTCGAATCTTCAATTTCCCCCGACCGAGTTGCAACGCCTCGCTAGGCCGCCTAGAGTCGTAGCGCTGGCTGCCATCCAAAGCGGCTGCCTGGCCGTTCGTGGTCGTGCTTTTGTGCTTGTGCTCTAGATTGCATGCGTACGAGCCCACTTCACAAAGCACTTTCGGGCCACAATCGCGATCCACAGCCGCAAAGCATCCCCGAGATGGTCGTGGATCCAGATAACAGTTCCATAGAGATAAAGACTAGGCGGGTGTCGCAAGTGCTAGCACTGCTAGCCCTACTAGGTCCTACTAGCACGCTGCTCGTCATTCACCAGTCGCAGGGTCGCCATGGGAAGGACCCCCAGCGCCGGTACATACGCGATACCACCACTGTTGGTCTGCTGTCCTCGTATTGATGCAGAGGCCGTGCGTCGTGGCCTCCAGAGAGGAGACAACAAACAACACACTGCACACTGCACACTGCACCACGGCTGCTACGACGAATAGGGCTCAATGGCCCCAGGCGTGTTCCGAGTGCCATTTTCTAGCGCCTTGCGTGCTGCCCTGCGTGTGAGATGCAAGCGCCCATTCATGAAACCGCCTTGATTCATTTGCCTTGTGCGAAAGCCGCCAGCGACTTCAACTCAATTCCCGACGTCGGTTTTTTTTTCCCGAGCGCGGCTATTGCGTGGAATTGGAACGTCATGCGTAGTCCAAGGGTGCCAGAGTCTGCTATCTCATCTCCCATTATCTCTCCATCTCCTCCTATCTGGGTAACGATAACATGAGAGCATACATAGTACGACTACTACTGCCTTCTGGGTAAATCTCAACGGCGCTTCATCAATCGCGGTCGACAAGCTGGTCCCATGGGTCGATGAAGACGAGATGACGACTACGGGATGGCCTCTCTACCTACATACGTACACAGTCTACCTACTCCTTACACGGACATATCCAGAGAACCACATCGGAAGTGTCCAGCCCTTTATTCCATGGATCTGTTCTTGTCCATGCAGCCGACGTCCGTCGCGCTACTATCCTAGCCGTGGCGTTGCGGCAAGGCAGTCTGTCCCGGTCGAATTATCCCTTAGCGATGGAGATCGAGACACGGATACACATACATATTGTTCCGTGCACTACGGATAGGGCTGGAGAATGAGCAACTGGGCATAAAGCTGCAGCTTTGTCGGGGTCCTGTAAGGGTAGCGTCAGAAGGGACCAAGAGACGAGACGCCGCAGGAGGGAGGAAGCCACCGCGGCCCTACTCCGGCCGTTTTGGTGTCTCATAGAGTTGTCGATCCAAACACGAGAGAGCAGGTCGACGGCAGTGAATGGTGACTGGTCCAGTCCATCCATGCCCTTACCCCGAGAAGCAGGACCCCCACTCCAACCACGGCTCAAAGTCTTTGGGTTTGGCAAGACGTTGCACAATAAGATGGGCGGCATGGTGCTGGTGTTGGTGGTGGTGGTGCTACGTCGCATCTCCATGCTTTGCCTCTCTCCAGTTAGAGTACATGCCAGCAACCTGGTCTTGACGGACCAGGCGCCGGTGCTGCTGCCCTCATGGCATCTCGGTAGATGGGGATGATCATGAAATCATCAATTCATCGAAAAACTACCGAAGCCGCCTCCCCCTTTCTAATTAGCTGCCTACCTAAATCCGTCGACAGGCGTCCAGAGTAGGTAACTTGTTGATCCCTAAATTGGGTAATGATAAGCAGCATGGCCGGGGAAAAAAAGCAGATTTCCTGAATCGTGTCAAAAAAACTGGTTCTGCCGGGAGATGGCACATATGACGCCTCGGTCAGGCGAGGGAAAAATAAGGCCGTCGCCTTCGCCGGGCATATCTCGATTCAGGTGCCTACCTACATTGGTAGGAGGTAGGTACATGTAGGAGGCAGTAGGTTTGGCATTGCATGTAAGAAAGCTCTCTGGATCGCCCGCAGCGGCGGGCCTTGGAGCACTGTGGCCGTTTCGAATTGCAAACTGTGATCCGGCATCGAGCAGCGATCTTGCAAACCCCCGTACCTGTCAAGGTCAAGGTCAAGGGGAGCTTGAGTTTTTTGCTTTGTCTTTGCTGACAATGATCTATTTCTAATGTACGAAATTTCCAGAAGAACAAGGAGACAACAGGCCTTGTATACATCAGCCGCCACCTGTCAAACCAAAATGGCCTCAGGGTCCCAGAAACACTGTCAAATAAGCCTCCTGATAAGCCTCCTGGGAAGTCCAGCAGCATAAAAGTGATCGTCACGTGATGCCGAACCCTCCGGCCCCCAAACCGGACCCCGGTGACGTACACAGGACACATCCAGGAGAAGATCAAGGTGAGCGATAGACAGCAGCCAATTCGTCTCCATACCTGGCATTCCTATCTCGGCGGGCTCGGAGTAGCCCCAGCGACTACCAGCACGCCAAAGGTCGCATCGGCGCCGCCTTTTGACCAGAAATACTCCGTTAAAGTAGCGAATACTCCGTTCCAGCTGCTTGCTCGTACGGGGCACAGCCAGAGAGCATGTATACTGTAATCAAACTTCATAATTGCGGCGGGCGCTCTTTCATTTGAGATTACCTCATCCTTCTTAACCCAGCAAGGCAGCAGAATGCAACCTCAGACGGAGCTTCACCACCTAGGAAATAGGTACTCCCACTGTGCTTCCCTGTGGCATTACTTACTTACGCCATGCCTGGCTACGGGGTGAACTGGCTGATGCTTTGTAGGCACCAGCCCCGGGGCATTGAGATGGAATTCCTTCAAGTAACCTTATGGCCAAGGCGTCACGGACAATTACCACCGTCAGGTATTCTCCTACAAGGGTCTCGGTAGTAACACCGAGAAGGAGCTGGAGATGCAGGTGAAGAGCAGCTCACATCAAGCAAATCACAGAGCGCCGCGAGGCATGTGAAGAAAGCAAAGCTCCGCTACACTAGGCATAGCTCGCTATGCAATAGACGTTTCAATCTCGCCTCGTCGAAGGACCGATACGGGCCAGCGTCAACTTCCGGATTGATTGGCCCAGCTTGCCCATCCATGCACACCGATGGACTGGTTTCTCGGAATATTTTCTGTTGGTACACGGTTGCATGTAGCATTTGGGTCTTTTTTGCTGGTCTCGTTTTACCTAATCACAAGTGGTAGGTAGCCCAGGTATAGCCTCAAAAGCGCCAAGGATCAGCAGGATTGATTGGGGAGCTGCTCATTGACGCCGGAGACGCGCGCAACCACTCGGATGATTCCGTTGCATTCTGCTCGTTAATGAAACCTCCCTCTCGGAAAAGCTGTGCTACCCTGTTCGGGGCGTTTATAGGGCCGTTGCTGGATTTCATTGGTGTAGCCAATGCCTCGTCGGTGAGGGCAGCAGAAAAGGAGGGATTGCAATACAAACCACAAGCAACACTCACACTCACACACACACACTGGAAGAGAAACGCATTCTCGGAAATATTATCCGATGCAGCCACGCCTCTGCTGAGATGCCCTCTCCCCAATTACTGTAGGCCAATTAGGAGCTATACTGTAATGGCAGCCTTGGCGGGAGAAAGCCACGCCCACGCCCACGCCCACGGCCTCTCCACTTTCAGTGTCTCGGCCGGACTTTTTGGGGGGGCATTGACTGGTCGTTCTTTTTGTTCCAGCTTCAATTGGGGGCCGCTATTGATATGGCAGCAGATAGAACTGGGTCAGGGTCAAGCTGTTATTAATCTATGGAGACACTTATATGGGGTTGCCAAGCCTTAATCAGATGGCCAAAGTACAGTGCAAAGTAACTGATAATTAACCATCCAGACTCTGTCTGGTGTTAGTATTACAATCTCAATGTCCCAGTACAAGCAGACGCCATTCAATTTGTATTTGCTACGAGTACTGGTACTACTACTACTAGCTTGTCAAATCCGATAAACTTTGTGCCTCTAAGGCGACGGAATATGCATGGCTTTAGCCGTTTAATTAACCAGCCTTTACTCTAAAAATTCACAATTCCCGGAGCTGAGGATATTTAATGGCCAAGCCATCTTGTAGGATTCTAAATGGCATTTGGCCTCTACCTGCATCTCCACCATATAGATAAGGCTGTGGCTATACATACTTTTCTTATAACGAATTTGTACATTTCTTGCGCTGGAAAAGATACGTATAATGCGAGATCGGTAATCACGGCTTCATTCCGGAGGCACTTTCAGATTCGGCCGCCTTTTTTTTTTCCCCCAGGCTTTTTTTCTCTGGTCCTCAGCTGATGATGTACGCGGCGCCGATAGGGCCTTCTCGGCGTTTTTATTTAAGGTGGCGAGTGGAGAATTGTACCTATATCACGGCGCAACTGTCCAAGTCGCTTAACCGAGGGCCTCATGTCTGTGCAACGTGTAACGTCTTTGTTTATGTTTTGAGATTGCTCTGTAATATCTGCCACCTTGCCGGTGGCTGATGAGAGGCGTCACGTCGTGGTCTCTATGGAATACCCAAAGACATGTAGCCTCTCGCCGAGTCCTTCACAGCCAGACTGATCGCTGACTCATCGTTATCATTTTGCGACTTCAAACGGGGAAAAGAAGCGTTCATTGCTGATGAGTGGAGGGTCATGTCGCCATCTCATCCGGCGTGCTATTAATAGCTTTTTCTTCATTGTGCGGCTGATAAGAGAGAGCCGTCGGCCAACAGCTCGCTTGGAGGACAAGCAGGTATGTTGGGTTGGTAACGTTGTTGGGCTACTTTGGTCACGAGGGTGAAGGAAGCAGAACCTAGTTGACTGCTCCGTACCCAGTGCTACTGTACGAGGTAGAAAAAGGCCGTGTCCTTTTTCCGTGATGACAGCTGGAACGCTCGAGAACTTCCTTGTGACCGCGAGAGGCTGCTCAGTGTTTCGAGTCCCATCAGGGAATTGTAAAAGGACGTCCAAGAGTAGAGTAAACTCATAAGAGAGGAAACAAGTTTTGCCATCTTATCCAATACCGATATGGTAATAAACGTAAGGGATATTGAAAGAAAGCAGCCGGAACATGGAAATGCTTGCTGGACTCGTAATAAGATACAGAACAGAAGATATATATGGCCAGGGGTTGAGAGTTTGCGGCCGTTCTATGCACAGTAAGCTCCGAAGTAGAGTCCTTAAATGATATGTTGTAAAAGAAATTCTGTAAACGTATTCTTTATACTTTATTTGTCCGCGGACTGGAAGTAATGAGGGAGTGTTTTATGTCTCATACTGCTCCATGTATGAGAGACCTCTCTCTACCTGTGAGTCAAAGCAGTATATAGAGCACCTCTTAATTTCTTCCATAATGAAGTACATCATGCAATATTAGAGTGCAGAAGCACTGTAATATATTCACTTCATTCACGCGAATTTTGTTTTGTATTAATGTCGAAAAAGTAAATCATGGAGATTTGAAAAGCATGGAGTTTTACAATTCAGGGTAGCATACTGTAGAGTGGTCAGACTTTTGGCCAGTTGAGTAAGACTGCGCGAACAGGCCAAGAAGATCAAGATTTCATAAGATGGTAATCAAATATAGGAGTGAGTGTTTTTTTCTCGGATTCCACTGAATAAATCTAACAGATATAGCTGTAGAGTGCGTGATTACCTGAAATTTTGGTAGTTTGTCGAGATGGGAGGAAGCCTCGGATGATGTCTTTGAGGTAGAAACGTCAGCTTAACTAGATGCGAGAATTACCAGGCGGATATTTAGCATTTCCAGCGCTCGAGATGGAAGCTTGATATATATCTATATATTAATTAAGGATAATCACTCTTCTGTTCTACCTATCATCTAGCACTCCGACTACATGTACCTATCGCATACATGTATATAGACTTCTACTGCTTCTACTGCTTCTACTGCTTCTACTGCTTCTACTGCTTCTACTGCTTCTACTGCTTCTACTGCTTCTACTGCTTCTACTGCTTTACTGACTCTACTGCCGCTAATCAGTGTATCTCAGGAATTTAGATACTCTTAGATGTAGAATGACTGCCTTGTTGAATTATATCTTGGTTATTGTATAACTTAGTCAGTGCACTAGATAACTTTTTCTTTCCTTCTGTCTTTCCTTCATTCCTTCTTTTTCTATAATCGTCTCATTTTTTCTACTGCTATTTGAATATGATTTTGATCTTGCAGCATCCCAGCGGTTGATGTTGGATGTTGCGCATCACATCACTACATGAAGGATGCTAAACGTGCGACTGAAAGAATAGCATCTCGACGCTGACCCGCCGTCTCGCGACCAAAGTTCTCACACATTTCAATAGGTCCTCAGAACTACGTCACAATAATTGCATTTGGTTGGATGACGGCCGTCTGCGTTGGCACTGCGGGAGGCCTACGGGTGCCTAGAGGTGCGAGGCTGCAGATGCATGTATGGCTTGTACAACTGCTGGCCAACAGGCGCCGGCCAAGTGGCTCTCGCCCAAGGGAAAAAAAACACGCCTGGTAAATCTGTCTCTTCAAATTCCCCTCTTCTCTTCCTCTTCAAATTCCCTTCTTTCATCATCAGCACAGGCTCCTGTGGGATATTTTCCCACATTTCAGCTTTCCCTGCTCGCACTGAACAGCCCCTATCTACTTGGAATCTCTTGAAATTCGTGTTGAAGTCTCTCACCTCAAGCTTCGCTGACCTTGAAAGCCAAGAGAATGATGAGAAATACCAAGTAAGTCTTACATATGCCTAGATACACATTTTCTTGCTCACGAAACAATTAGGTACAATGAACCCACCCCTCCTACTACGCCATCGGACGGCTCTGTCAAACCATGCTTCTTTTTCCTACGAAACAATAGTTGCAAGTTTGGAGCGCGATGCAAGTTTTCACATGACACTGGAAGCGCACAAGGCGGCCATTCTGCCAATAAGGGGCAATCCAATGCTCCGATGAAGTCTTTTGGAAACAGCCGAAACCACGCTCCAGAGGGAAAGTTAGTCAAATGGAAGCAGTTGCTGCAAAGAGGAGATGGCTCTGCTCGGCCATCCCTTCAGATCGTCGGTCAGTTCTTCAGCCTGGCCCTCGAGCTCATGGATGGAGACGTCGGCGCTGCCCAAGAGGCAATCAAGCTTATTGCCACTGAAACTGGCCTCTCTTTCATCAAGGACGTGATAGACAGGCACATCTTCATGGCAAGCCAATTGACAGCAGGACCTCAACTCTGGGAAACAGAAATCAAGCCACTCTTCCAGCTGGTGACTCACGCCCGCGTCGTTGATTCGGCCGTGTTAGAAACAGAGGTCGCCACCATCCTTAATTACATGGTTGGAGTGGGGGGATCTAGGATGAACAAGCTCTTTCAGTACATCGACTCGCTGTTTCAGCTGTGGCAATTCAACTCTACACACGTGTCTCTTGTAGAGGCAGCTGGTCTATCTCTTGCAGTATTGGCAAAGATGCTAGACTGCAACACCACTAATATCATCAAAAATGACTTTTCAACATTCGCGAATAGCTTGTCTCGCCCCTTGGAAGAATCGGCGGAACCAAAAGACATGGTTTTTCGTCTTCAGGCTACCAAACACCTTCACTATATCCGCCAACGTCTTCAGATCGGAAACCACATGTCGAATCTGGAGGTCCAGAGCTACAGTGCCGTCACTCAAGAAATATTTGTTTTGGCTCGAGATTTGCCTGGCAATCTCTCAGCTGGAGGGCCAAGGCACGACAACGACGAGGCAGATATAGTCAACATAAAGGTCTTGCCCACGTATGAAGAGATCATGTCGCCACGAGAAGAATATTTGCCAGTAAACGATTGTTCTCAATGGCACATTCCTGGCATTAGCGGACGGCTAGACAGAGAATTTCGTTTAATACGAGAAGATACAGTTGGCCAGCTACGTGATGCGATTCGTGGCGCCCTGGAACGCATTCGTAGTTCCAACAACAAGGCCAGTCATAAAACAAACAATAATTCCTTACGCACATATACATACGATTCTGCTAAGCTTATTAACATCCGATTCGAAAAAAACACCGGCCTGGACTTTGTTGTCCGCTGTGATCAGCCTCCTCCTGTCCCATCACTGAATCCTAAACAAAGGAGGGACTGGTGGGAAAGATCAAAACGTCTACAAGTCGGAGCGCTAGTCTGTGTCATTGACGGAACTGATGCGATCATGTTTTGCACCGTGTCTGAGTCGACATTAAGGAACCAAAGTGATCAAAAGATTCGAACGGAAAAGAAAACAGCAAATGATTCTTCTACAGAGCCCAAGCTGACGCTCTCTGATCAAGAAGACTATTTATACGTAAATCTGCAGCTTATCGACGCCACACCAGATGCTGTAACTCAAGCTCTCCACTGGTACCAGGCGAAAGGCCGGTCGGGCTACAGATATCTTGTGGAGTTTCCCGGCATCCTTCTAGCATCGTTCAAGCATACGCTTGATGCTCTTAAGGAAATGAGACAAAAGCCATACATGCCCTTTATCGATCTATTGGCGCCAACGGATATCGAATCCACAGAAGCCAGAATTCAGCCGCCGCAGTACGCTAGGGCGGCTGATTTCGCGTTTGACCTTGGATGCCTTACAAATGATGGCACCGAATTTCTGGTTTCGCCTCAGCATCTCCCAGATCCAAAAATAGTCAAGTCGCGGACCTCTCTTGATGTCACACAGGCTTCCGCTCTCTTGAATACCCTTTCTCGAGAATTGTCGCTCATTCAAGGCCCCCCAGGTACCGGTAAAAGCTTCACGGGAGAAAAGATCATTAAAATCCTATTGGCAAACAAGAGAAAATGCACCCTAGGACCGATATTATGTGTCTGCTACACCAATCATGCCTTGGATCAGCTTCTTGAACATCTTCTTGACGACGGCATTAGCAACATTATCCGTATAGGGTCTCGATCAAAATCAGAGAGGTTGCAAGCTCTGAATTTACGAGTTGTCTCTCAGCAAGGCGACCGCACAAAGTCAGAAAAGAGAAACCTTTATACTGTGGGCCTTGAGCTTGACAATATAGCGGCCGGCATCGAAGGCTCGCTCCGTGCATTATCGACGTCCAATTCGCCAAATTCCCTCAAAAAGTATCTTGCCCAGGTTTTCCCCGGACATCATGATACGCTATTTGGCTTCGACGAAGACGGATGGGAGACAGTTGATAAACCTCAGACAATCCTACGAAAGTGGCTGGAAGGAGGCTCCCGTCACAGTAATCGTTGTCGAGATATCGAGATCTTAAAGGAAACTGAGTTGTTCACCATGTCATACGCCGAGCGCCAAGCGTTATATCAATACTGGGTGACGAACAGTGTAGCTTCATTCGTTGGCACCATTGCGCGACTGCAGGAAAAACATGCCGAACTGATAGAGCGCCGTAACCGCGTGCGCAGCGATGTGGATCTGCGTTGCCTCAACCAAGCCAATATCATTGGAGTCACAACGACCGGTCTGGCAAAGAATCTTCATCTTCTCCGAAAATTACGAAGCAAGGTCATGCTTTGCGAAGAGGCTGGTGAAGTCTTGGAGGCTCACATTCTAACGGCTCTGCTTCCTTCAATTGAGCATGCCATCTTGATTGGCGACCACCTTCAGCTTCGCCCACAGATCCAAAATTATGAGCTACAGAGCACGAATCCTAGAGGAAAGCAGTATTCTCTAGACACTTCACTATTTGAAAGACTTGTTGAGCCACCACACTTGACGGATTTACGCGTTCCCTACTCTACACTAGAAACACAAAGGCGGATGCACCCATCGATATCTGAGCTGATTCGATCCACCTTGTATCCATCTCTACAAGATGGGGAGAACGTAAAGAACTACCCGGCAGTTGTAGGTATGAAAGAGAGGCTATTTTGGCTTCACCACGATCAACTGGAAGCTGGTGCGGCTAGTCATGACCCCCTGAATACCTCGCATTCAAATGATTTTGAAGTTGAAATGACCGTGTCTCTCCTGTCTCATATCGTAAGACAAGGGGAGTACGCTCGAGAGGACGTCGCGGTCATCACGCCGTACTTGGGACAACTACACAAGCTCCGACGCCGAATGGAGTCCATGTTCGAGATCTGCCTCAACGATCGCGACCTCGCAGAGCTGGAGGATTTTGAAAATAAAGACCAGATTGTGCCCATAGCCCTGAAAAAACAGCCTGCCAAATCTACTCTTCTGAAGAGCGTTAGGATGGCGACAGTTGACAACTTTCAGGGCGAGGAAGCGAAGATTATCATCATCTCTCTTGTTCGGAGCAATCAGCAAAAGAAATGCGGATTCCTTAGCACTTCCAACAGAATCAACGTCCTGTTATCGCGCGCAAAACACGGCATGTACATCATCGGCAACTCTGATACGTACCATAACGTTCCCATGTGGGAAGAGGTTATCAACATGCTTAGTGCTCAAAATCTAGTCGGCAAAAGCTTGGAACTTCAATGCAGTCGACATCCTGACACTCCAATCCAAGTTTCGCAGCCGGATCATTTCGTCATTTTCTCTCCAGAGAGCGGGTGTAACCTGCCATGTGATAAAAGGCTTCACTGCGGTCACTCATGTACTGGAAGATGTCATTCTGATCTTCTTCACAGTGCGGTTAAATGTCTTGAGCCGTGCCCCAGGCCACAAAAAGGCTGCAGCCATCCTTGTCCTCGAGCATGTGGCGATGCGTGCCCAGACAGATGCTACTTCCAGTTAGATAATATCGACCTTGCTCTTCCATGCGGCCACAGGCTCTCTTCGGCAAAATGTTGGGAAAACCAAGAGCCCGCCTCTGTTCGGTGTAGAGTTCTCGTCAGACGAACTGTGCCAGGCTGCAATCATGAAGTCGAGGTTCCGTGTCATGAAAATGTCACGGCTGCTAGATATCGTTGCACTGCTCGGTGTGGCCATCACCGTCAGTGTGGCCATACTTGCAATAGTCTCTGCCACCAGTGTAATACTCGAGAAGAGGGTAAGATTACAGAGCAGAACCACGGTATTTGCGAACAGATCTGCGGTCGTGGCTATTCGACGTGCCGCCACGGCTGTTCTAAGCTTTGCCACGGCGACGACAAGTGCCCCCCCTGCCAGAAGCCATGTGAAGTGCGTTGCGGCCATTCAAAATGCAACAAGGCGTGCAATGAGCCCTGCGCACCCTGCGCAGAGAGTACGTGCCACTCCAGCTGTCCTCACACAAGCTGTACCATGCCGTGTGCTGCGCCATGCGACTGGGTTCCATGTTCCAAGCGGTGCGAGAAGGTACTGAGATGTGGTCATCGATGTAAGTCATATAGCCATACAATCTCCCATATACTTTACCCCAAAGCTAATGCTAGACTGCAGGCCCTTCGCTCTGTGGAGAGACCTGTCCCAATGAACGCTTTTGCCAACAATGCGCCACCAAAGACATCAAATCTTTATGCGTTGACTTTCTCGAGATGAAGGAATACCACGAAATTGATTTAGACGAGGAGCCCTGTATTTTCCCGGATTGTGGGCACTTTTTGACTACTTCGTCTATGGATGGCCAGATGGGCATGGCGGCGTACTACGATGTGGATATGGATGGACATCCGATACGGCTCGGCAAGGCGTCTGAGCCTTTCTCGCTGGACGACTCAGGGACCCCAGTTTGTGCTACCTGCCGGGGCCAACTCCGAAATATCGCTAGATATGGGCGTATTGTACGACGAGCCATGCTCGATGAGTCAACCAAGAAGTTCATCGAGTGGTCTCACGGGCAATATCTCTCGTTGGCAACTCGTCTGCTGGAAGAGCAAGAAAAGCTTGGGCAACAGCAGAAGACCAAGACAGCCTCATCAACAGTCAGAGAGGGCAAACTAACGCAATATGCCCCGAGACTAAGACAACTTCGAGAGTTGGAAAGGATTACGGATAACGGCCGGTATCACTCTATCATTGACTTATGGAGGAAGATTGGCTCATACGCAAGCGATGTTAGAAGGGAAGAGCAGCCGTTTCAGCGAGTAGCTGATTTCGTTCTATTTGCCAATCGCCAAAACAAGACTCACGGGGAATTCAGATTTGATGACTCTATTAACCAAATCAAGGGATCTCTTCTTGCAGATACGCTGCTGCTCAAATGCGACCTTGCCATTCTCTTCGACTTCCGGAGCCTGGCTAAAGAAAAAGCATTGGAGCTGACAGAGCTCAAACTGGATTTATCAGGTCATTGGACTGATTCCGTTCGTCTCATCGAATTGTCTCATAAATACGTGTATTCGAGAGAAGAGGTTCAGGGGCACATTTTCGCCGTGCAACTCTGTGTACTATGTTCATCATTTGGCAAGATCACTACCATGTGGGCTGCTCATAAGCAGAGCATTGAGAATCTGAAAGAAGAGGCGCTAAAACACATTCAAAGGGCCCGTGTATTGATGGAGAAGTATCCATCTACGGCAGTATTCAAGGATGAAATTGACCGCCTTGAGATTATGGTTAGCGATGGGATCTATCGCCCTGTCACAGCTGAGGAGATGCGATCCGTGTACAAGGCAATGTCGAGAGAGTTTAATGGGACAGGGCACTGGTACGTATGTGAGAACAACCATCCTTTTACGATTGGGGAATGTGGTATGGCGATGGAAGTCGCATCGTGTCCAGATTGTGGAGCCAAAATAGGAGGCCGGAATCACCAGGCCGTAGAAGGGACGAGGTACGCAACAGAGATTGAAAATCTTGCACGCGGAATGGGCGGAGTGAGGATCTAGGCAATCGTGTAACATGTTGATTGTTGATTTGTTTTATGGTGTTTTGCTGTATTGTATTTCATTTGTTATTTCTTTCATTCTCATTTAAGGCCAGCAAGTGATGATAAAGCCAAGTTAGACTGAAATGAAACTGATATCAAACGTTCACACGTGCCACGCTCAGTCGCGACTGCCAGCTGCACGCCCGATATTTGCTACCCTGATAAATTCCTTTTTTCCCTGGAAGCAAATTCATCCGCTTTCTTCCTCATTACAACATTTTACAATGAACAAACAAAACCCATAAACATCCTTCTCTGCACCATGCCTCCGATTCCGCAAAGCATTCTCCGCATCGAGGAGCAGTTGCTTGGCATCGAGCTTCGACGGCCCTTTGAAGTGGAGGGAAAAGAGTATTATCTATGGAAGGTTCGCTCTGAGCGAGAGGGAATCCACCGCAGCCAAATCTACGTGGCCGCCGTGATGCTCACCTACTCACCGTCAATACGATCTATCGATAATCTCCCACAGATGGAGGTCGATGACTTCCACGACTCGTGCAACAAATCGTTCTCGTTGTACATTCCTCGATTTAAAAGATGGAGTTTGCTCTTCACGGTCCTTCACAACTACATCTACCGACGATGGTTCCAGCCGTACCAAAGCGAGATTGAACACCAGCGCTTCCTCTGCAAGTTTATCGCCCCTCGCGACCTACCCAACAAAGGGCAGATTACGCCTGTATCGATTCAGGGCATAATCTGGCTACATGAAGCCATATGCGACGAGGTTGAATCACGACGTCACCACTACGAAAACTTGCATCGTCGCTACAGCGAGCCGTACGCGATGCTGACGGAACTCCCTGCGCGACCCAATCTTTACGTTCTGCAGCCGTTGTTCAAAGCACTGCTGATGATATGTTGTGCTAAAGAGTATAATGGAGAAGACTCGACTCAAGTTGGAAAACTCCCAGTCTACCTGGTCCGAACCCGCTTCGAAGATGAACTCAGCGAACCCATATCCTTCCTGCCCATCGCGGCCAAGATAGATTGTTATTTAGAGGCTGGCCAAGGAACGGTTAGGACATCACTCGAAACAGCCATAGGCTTTCTGATGGACTTGGAAAAGAGAGAGAGAGATGCATATGGTCTTGATCCCGACCCGTGGAGACCTGACACTTGGACGATGAACTGGTTTCAGAGCCCGCTGGGAGGTGGGCGGTTGGTCGGGCCGAGTTCGTGGCTCGTAAATCCTGAGAGCAAAATGAGTTGGGACGGGGATGGTTTTGATGTTGATCGTATGCTGAAGGCTCTAGAGGAGCAGGAAATGGATAACAATGGCATCACCGCTGGTGTTATTTGAGGTTAAACGATTGGGCAAGGTTAGCCACCTGGTTTGTCAAAGGAAAGCGGTTTGTGATATTAGCTGTACATGTACGACAGAACATTTACAATTTAAAAGGGAAATGTTATCTAGCACATTAATTCATCATCCAAAATCCCGCTGTAGCTTAACAAGGCACCTTGTCCACGTACCAAAAAACACAACTGCCAACTACATTTTCACATCTCATCAGTAGCAGCAGTAGCAGCAGTAGCAGCAGTAGCAGCAGTAGCAGCAGTAGCAGCAGTAGCAGCAGTAGCAGCAGTAGCAGCAGTAGCAGCAGTAGCTAAGTATAAATGAATCTTAGATTGTGAGCGCCGGTCTATATAGGCTGTGAAGCTGAAGGTCTTATTGTAAGTAGAGAAAGTCCGGCAACACATACAAGAAACCATTGAGCTCAGACAATTCATTTATATCTTCCAGTTTTGCTCTGACATCCTTTGACTCTCCCCGCACCCTCCCTACTCCCTGCAAAGATGAAGCCAGTCAAAAGAACTCCCTTTGCCAAAGTAGAATTTGTGACCACTTTGAGTCGAGTGATGCTGGGCCAGCAAAAAACAATACAGAAAGTAGCTTCTATGGCAAGAAACCGAAGGCGGGTTGAAGGGCGCAGATTCACAGGCCCAGCAAAGTAAGCCAATATTGGTAATAGTGTAACCCTTGTGGAATGCACGCTGCATGAACAAAGCTATAGCTTGGTCATATTGTCTAAACCTGTCTTGAACTTCTCGGGCGTTAGTGCCAGAGCCCACGTAGAGTTTCGGCTTGTCGCCAGCCGTCTAGATAAGGACAATGTAATTCTCCAAATTTTCTCACGGCTTGCCTCAGTGTCGAGAGAGCGGGAGAAAATCTAATGAAGGCGTAGATTTTGATTAAAGAATATCCATAAGTGTTGAGGGACAAGATAGCTGCGTATCTGTACAAGTTTTTAAGAAGTATTATTTATCCGCGAGCAATAGCTGACTGATATGCCTCGGCCATATAGGAGCTTGGGATGTCTGTATTAACAGCAAGCCAAGTTAATGAATTGATCTACGCTCCGATATCTTTAGGCTAAAGTGCAAATTCTTTGTTGGGTAATTCATCAGAAAGCGATTCATCATTCGATGGTAGCTCGTCGTCAGGGAGTGATTCGTCATCAGAAAGCTATACAGAGAGCGATTCTTCATCTAGTGGTTGTTCGGCCTAAAGCAATTCAGCATTAATAGTTTGTTCATAAAAGACGATTTCACTTACAAGAACATCTGTGACATAAGTCTTGGCCATGGCTGGAGAGATGGCGAGTAACGATGAAACGGTCCAGGTATTACTTGACGATGAGAGGGAAAAGACAGCCCACGACGCTAAACGTAGTGAAAGTTGTAAGGGAGTAAAATGGCTAGACTTTTCGTAATAAATAATGAGGGCTCTCTAGGTAGCTACCTTATATAACCCGTCAGTGGATCTCCTTCCTCTGATCTCTAGGAATGTCAGGCAAGCGTCCTCCAACGCTGAGCCTCGGTAAAAAGAGAAGGCGCCAGTAGATGAAAGCGGGCGGTATACTGCGCATGGGGTCGAAATGGACAAGGGTACTGATGCTACGGATGAGACGTGAAAATAAGCAATGATTTCGCTCCTGCCCAGTATGTTGATTGGCATCCCGAGAAAGCACAGATAGGGGGAGGTGTATTGTAAACGAGGTTGAACTGGAAGGCATCTATAGTTTAACAAGGCAGTCAGCCTACTTGTTAAAGGACCTATCAAATTGCTATATACAGTTCAAAATAGCTAACAACAGTAGCAGTAGAAGCGGTAGCATCGGTAGCCCATGCCATAGCTGGAGTGCTTAATAACAGAATTGGGGCGCTGGATACCTCTTCTCTTCCAAAATTAGTACAAGTACGCAAACGCTCAGTAGAAATCTTTCACTAGACCATCACAAAGATTCCACAACCTCTCTCCGCTCCCCCTCGTCTCAATGCCCTCGGCGACTTTTGGGAGCGGGGTGCCAATCTTCCCCCAAGGGATGAGATAGCAGCCATTATGCTCAGCCACTTCAGCATCAAATCCTGCTTGCAGCTCGGTCAGGGCTCCAAATCGAGCTGGATACGACAGCATGCCCTGTATGCTCTTTAAGATGCTGGGAGCGTGGCGAGTGAGGTCCGTCTTGAGTGCTCCGGGATTGAAGACACGCTCACGAGTGAAGGGTATCTTTTGGCCATCTCGGCTGCGAGAATGGTATTTGCCCATTTGCTCTGTACATATCGCAGCGTACGCCCACCGAGACCGGAGAATTTAGGAGCAGTCAATCCCCAGTCATCCCAGAGAATACCATCCTCGCCAGGAGGGTCGGGAAATTCCACAGAAGCCGCCCAGCACGTGCGGACAGATCCCTTGGGAGAGGCCTCCCCGTCTGCGGTGTTGAGGAGGATTGGCGTTAGGAAATGCTGGAGCAAGAAAGGGCCCAACACGTTTGTGGCGAAGCTCAGCTCGTGCCCTTGCTTGCTGACGCTGCCTTCAGGGGGAGCCATGACGCCGGCATTGTGCCAGACGACATCCATGCGAGTTTCTAACTCCAGGAACGCCTCGGCTGTTTGCTTGATGCCTTGCAAGTCGGAAAGATCCAAATATAAGAATCTGAGTACATCGTTGTCACCACCGGCGCTGCGACGCTTCATGTCGCCAGGCGGATCGGACTGTTTGATGGTATTTATAGCTGTGTTGCCGGAAGCTTCAGATCGGCCAAGGATATAGACGCACGTCGCATTGGCGTGGAATAGAGCTGTTGCTACAGCCAAGCCAATGCCTCCAGCGCCGCCCGTGACAATAAAAACCTAGGTAGTCGATAGATGAGATCAGCTGTAATAGAGGGAGACGAATAAAGGAGGGGAGAGAGCGGCATCATACTCGTCCCTGCAAATCAGGCAAGTCCTTCTCAGTTTTTGTAGGCTCGCCAGGCCAATATTGTCGCAAATACTTTGACATGATGTAGAGCGGGGAGAGGAGTTGAGGTGTAGATTGAAAGGTTTTGAAAATAAAGTTGATGCAAGTGAGATGGCTATCGGTTATTTAGATCTTACATTCAAGCTGACCTAGAACCGGGCCTAGCTTGAGGTAGTCCAAGAGACGAAATGAGATGTCAGATGTGATTATTATTCAAGATTTCTTCTTCCTCTTTTTATTTTTGACAGAAATAGATGATAATATGAGTACTTAGATGTGCAGGCACAAATTGTGCGTAATTATTTTTCATCAAAGTAAGAGACAGAGCGACAGGTTCAAGAAAGAGAGATCTAAGCGTTCCAGGCCTCTCGGTCATGGTTATCCAGCATCGACTTATGAATATGACAACCTGAATCGAGAGGGCCTTATTCCATTATTCCATCTGCTTTGTTTCGGCGTACAAAATCATCTTCCACTCGCATCTAAAGTGTAGATGACTAGTAGTTTTATTGTTTTCCATGTAATGCCAGCACTGGCGACAAGACCTATAAAGCCAGGACTCTTTCAAACATAATGCCATATAATGCGAGTAATTTAGTATTTGTGACCCATTAATCTTGTAGCAGAGTTGAAACAGATTGATTCATTTCGTAACCAGCAACGAGGCATGGCAATCTATCATGTAGGTTCGCAAGCAGGCAAATTCTTATGATGAAAGTTGCATTCACACAGCTCCAAGTACCTCCCTGTACCCTAAAGCTGAGATGCGGATCACTATGGACCTTGTTTTAAATCGATTTAAGCATATGAAATAGACACACCACTATTTTCGAGGTGAGAGCCTCTCATACGAGTAATATACCTAGTAGACACGTACTAATAATCGGCGAGCGGCTCTGCCGGGTAATTTTGAATGTTTTACAGTCTTTCTTTTACAAATATAAAGCTGACTGAGTCTCCGGAGCGAGCCGGCAAGTGTAGCAAAGTCCCAACTAATACCTCCCACAAACCTCCCCTTTATGCACTTACTTGTAGTATTAGCGCCACAAATAGATTGCTCTCAGGAACAAAAATAGACACAAGGTAGGCTCAGGTTCAGGAACAGTAGCAATCTTTTCTACTATAGAGTTTGGTACTCTACGCCAGTGGCCTCCGTACTTGTACAAGCTAAGCATTCTGCACGTGACATTGGACCAATCTTAATGCTGCAAAAAGCTTAAATAACATGCAGGGAACTTTGTCTGCCAATAAGGTACGGATAATGCGACTGCCGGCCAGGTCCGAAATACTGCCGAAGTACCTGTACGGAGCGTGGTACATCGCTGCCTCCAGCCGACGGACTTGTTGGCCACAGACTTTGGTTTTAGCTTCGCTCACCTCTCCAACTTTGCCTTCCATTCAGGGCCCATCATGGCCATACGGTTGGCCATGTCTTGTCTGTTCAAGAGCTGCCATTCGCTTTGGGCAGTATAGCAATAGCATTACCCGTAGCACGACTCCCCCGTGGCCAAGATCCCGCCAGCCATGCATCCCGTCCGGCCTCGTCTGCCGGCGCTGGCTCCGCGGCTGCCAGGCAACTCGCCGCCGGTGGTTGAGCGGCCAAGCGTCAAGGAACATACGGAACAGGAGTGGTTAGCGCAGAAGGACCTTATTGAGAAGCTATACATAGGAGACAACCGCAAATTGAATGAGATCATGGCCTTAATGGAGACTAAATATGGATTTGCCGCAACGTGAGTGGACACTCTTTGCCGTTTGTTTGCCGTATACGTTCAGAGAACAAAAAGGGGATTTGATATACTAGGCGACAGACTAAACTCAGTGCTAACTAAACCCCCCAAAAGCGAGCAAATGTACAAAAAGAGATTCAAGAAGTGGAACATTAGGAAAAGAGCATATCGCAAATCGCCCGGGGAAACCACTCTCCCTTCTCCCTCATCTACAACCTCTTCTTCTACCGATTTGAAGCATGATGACGATGTCGAGGAGGTACCAAGGACAATGACTCCTACGGTTACGGGCCTGGACTTGGTCCCGAATCCTTCGTTCAAACCACTCGCGGACCTGGAGCTTATTCTAAACGGCGTTCTATCTTGGAGCTCAGGGAAACTGGAGACTTATCGCATAGCGTCCGATCCCATGTCGCAGTATCTTGCTACCCCAAACCAGCCGCCTATACAAGATAGCCGTACCATGTACCGGACGTTTGAGCTAGTCTTTGACTTGTGGTCTTACGGCAAGGGCGATCTAGCGGGCATGGCGGCCAGAAAGGGCTTCTATGTCTTGGAATTTGTCCTGACCGAGGACCATCCCGACCTTCTTTGGCATATTCTTGACACAATATACGACATGATTGACCGAGGGCATTTACAGCTTCTTGGAATGTTTATTAGACACGCGCTTGTGCTGTCAAGGCAGCGCTTTCCCGCAAACCATCCTCTCATCCGCATCCTTCAACAACTCCTGGCTTGCGACTACCAGACTGAAGACGGTCGCCAGTTCATCTGCTACCTGTTACGGCAAGCTTGGCTACGAAACGTGGATCTCCTTGCGGAGTACATTAAATTATCAGCACCTCAAGAGTTTTGGCTGTACGAGCAGCTGATTTGGGATGGCCGGACAAAGCTTCGTCGAAACAATGGGCTGGCCAACAGACGTGAGATTATGTACGAAGCCCTTGAAAACTTGGGACACCATGAGGTGCCTGTACCAAGTGATGATAACGTGGAAAAATTGAGAGTCGACGCACTCATGCTAGAATTCACGCAGATGGATCTAGATGATAAGGAGAAGGCAGAGCAGATGGCGCTGGATCTGCTCGACATCACGCAGTATGAAACTGGGGCACTTTCGAACGCCAGATTTCATGCGTATGCCCGGAAGATGCTGGCTAGACTCTGCGAGAGCAGAGAGGCCTGGGACCAGGTGGAACAGAATTTGAAATATGCCATTCACATGAGAGAAGCTGCGCATGGAACGACCACCAACTTGCGGGTTATCCGAGACATGTGGGTGCTCGCGGCTTACTACAACAAAGTCGGCAAGATAGACGACGCTCTACGAGTCGCCCAAGACGCCATCACCAGGGCGCAACAGTATTTGCACGATATCCCAGGCTGAGACTGTTTACGATAAGAATACGGATCGCAAGGTCAGCTGGCGTTAAGAGACACGATAGCGAGAGCTTGGCAGTTCTGAGAAGCACCAAGCGGCGGGGTATTTCTTTTCTCTTTTCCTTTCTCTTTTTTTTCTGAAATACGCCATTACTACAAGAATGGCTCCAATAGAGTCACCCCTTTGAAGGGCAGTTTATGTTTGGGCGGAAGCAAAGTTGGAGTATTGGTTGGGTGTCTTTGGCAGCACCTTTGTTTTACAATGGCTATATATTTGTATCTATACTTGCATATAAGTGCTATCAGTACATACATCCTATATACAAAAATTGAGTTGCTCAAAATACTGCATGCATGTGTTATGCACTTTACACTCCATTGTCTCCTCGGCTTTGTATACAATAACAGCTAGCCTTGCAGGATACACGTAGCCAAGCTAAGCTAGTACCCGCTGAGCTGCGAACCAGTAGTATTACTATTTGTGGAGTTGGCCTGGCGCGCAAACGTTGGTTCCAGCCACATTGACGTCTCGCCACATGACGACTGGATAAGGATAAACCGTCGCTGGGCCTGCATGGCTACAGCGCCGAACCTGCATCAGGCACCTATTCCGTTCCCCGTAGTTCTTTTTTTAAGGGAGACGATTATCTTGAATACCCTTGGCGAGACCCTGAGATTGAGTTTCCCCTCCTTCAAATCAAACATATCAATCGACAAAATGACGAGAAACGGAGCACCGCCTGATTACTGTAAGTCGCACAAGCTCTCCCCGCCATTGTTCTCCAGATGAGACACCTCCCTCCACCTCAGATGTGAACATGGTTTACTGAATCAATCGGCATTGTGCAGACGCTATTTTGGAGGTTCCAGAGAAAGCCTCGGCGGCGCAGATTCGAGATGCTTATAAGCGGTATGTAGCCCTTCTCAATTGCCAATAAAGTCGATGACTGACAACCATATCTCCAGTGCTGCGTTGAAAACACACCCCGATCGAGTCCCCAGCGATTCACCAGAGCGTGAACAAAGAACACGACGCTTTCAACTCATAAACGACGCTTATTATTGTCTCTCCGATGCGACCCGGAGACGAGAGTATGACCAACAGCGAGCATACTACCACCGCCAGTCGGCGTCCGATCCCTTTGCAGAAGCAGACAACACGACGGGACAAGGCTATTCGTGGGCATGGGACTTCTTCGAGAACCAGAACGGAGGAACTGCACCCAATGGCCGCCAAGCTACAGAGGATGCGCAGTTCAGCGACGCCTTTGAGGAAATGATGCAGGACGAGGGATTCTCAGAAGGGCAGACACCCAACCAGCAAGGCGGTAACGCTTCAACCATGTGGGGCATGGTCGGCGCTGTAAGTGGCGGCGCTCTGGGATTCATCGTGGGCAACGTCCCTGGACTGCTTGCCGGAGCAGTGGCTGGCAATCGACTCGGGGCGATCAGAGATACCAAGGGGAAGAGCGTGTACGAAGTCTTCCAGGTAAGCCCAGACTGTTTTGTTTTCTGTGGCTGTACACCCGCCTCTCTGCGGTGTGCCGCTGCTTTCTCAGATTTTTCTGAGACTGACTAGATTATTCAGATCTCCCTGAGCGCTAATGTACATATAGGAACTTCCTCAAGATGATAGGGCAAGATTGTTGAGTCAATTGGCTGCCAAGGTATTCAGCCATGTTGCCAGCCCATAAGGAATGCTGAGGAAGTGCCAATTGGGGGAAAAGTGAATCACCTGGACAAGAATGAGGCTTCGGGTAGGATTTTTACATGATACGAATGGCGGTTTTTTTTCTTGATGGACAAGTTGCGCCTGAATTTTTTTTTACGAAGAACAAGATACGAGACAATGGAAATGAATCATACCCTTCAGTCACTGGTATATAGCTATGTAGGTAGTATTAGGAAGTAAAAGATAACCAAATATCACTATTTCAACGGTGAAACCAGCTTGCTTTGCGTTCAACGACTCCTTTTACCGTTGCCAGTATCATAGGCAGTCGATGTGATAACAATGGTTTTGCTTCGATATGAATGCTGCTGCGTCAATCCCGAGGCTGGATATGACCCAGCTGCTTGGCTACGCTGGGTGGCGAAGAGGTGCTGCTATTGTAGGCTACTCAGGATGTACCCACTTTCTATGCGAGTATAATGCGTGAACCTGAGTAGCGCTTCTGTACTTTCTGCTAGTGCAGACAAATTGAAGCTTGAACCGCTCTGTTAAAATGGAGCTTCCTAGCGGCGATGCAAAGCACACGCACTAGCCCTCTTTGGGGAATTCAGCCCCGCTTTTCTGTGCTCTCGCTTGAGGGCAGACAAACCCTCGAAATTTTCCCGCCTTCACAAAATCGTTCGCCTTAGCCCAACCTCAACTTTTCGCCCATCTCCGACAGCAAGACATCGTCGATCAACAACCGCAGCAATGGCCACCGAAAAGTCCAGCAACCCCATGCGGGAGCTCAAGATTCAGAAGCTCGTTCTGAACATCTCCGTCGGTGAATCTGGTGACAGACTCACTCGTGCCGCCAAGGTGCTTGAGCAGCTGTCCGGTCAAACCCCCGTCTACAGTATGTCGCAAATAATCAATCATGATCAACCCGGCAAGCAGGAATATTAACCAATTTTCATTATAGGCAAGGCCCGTTACACCGTCCGAACCTTCGGTATCCGTCGTAACGAAAAGATTGCTGTCCACGTCACCGTCCGTGGCCCCAAGGTAAATCAACTACGAAAAAATTTGAAATTTTCAAAGCAGTTTGGCTGACTTATGAACAGGCTGAGGAGATTCTTGAGCGTGGCCTCAAGGTCAAGGAGTACGAGCTGCGCAAGCGCAACTTCTCCGAGACCGGCAACTTCGGCTTCGGTATCAGCGAGCACATCGATCTTGGTATCAAGTACGACCCCTCCATCGGTATCTACGGCATGGACTTCTACTGCTGCATGACCCGCCCTGGTGAGCGTGTCACCCGCCGCCGCCGCATGAAGAGCAAGATTGGTGCTTCTCACCGCATCAAGCGCGAGGAGACCGTCAAGTGGTTCAAGGGCCGCTTCGATGGCATTGTCCGATAAACGGATAAAAATCATCCAAACAAATCAACTTTTTTTTTCTCAGTCTTTAAATGGAAATGGGCACGGCGAACATTTGGGGGTAAAAAGGGATCATATATGGTCATGTATTCTTCCGCTTGATTTTTACATCAGCTCGTACCAAAAAGACTTTTGAGTCGAGCAACGGCCTTAGAGACCGACCGGCGTACTGCCGGCTTCATGAATATTGCCCCTGCAATGTGATGGCACCATTTTTACATTGGCGAAGCTTGACTTGTCGCTTGCTTGTATGTATGATGACGTTGGTATTGAATATCCCGTCTTGACTTGTAGATGTCTTTTTTCCAGCGGTAGCGGCATGCGTGTTTACCAAGCTGATGAATATCATGAGAATCAACGGCGAAACATGTCTTCTCATCATTGTCACGTAGTCGTAGACTGACTGCTGAATGCAGTACAAACAGAGAGAGTTGTGCGGCTCAACCTGGGGCATGCCAAAATACGTCTTGGCGGCTTATGCCAGAAGCAACACAGCCATCTCTCAGAGAGTCCGTGGCGGATGCTTTACTCGTTCATCATTGAGGCTTACTATATCATTGAATTGGTTTCATATATGCTCCTTGGTTTCAAATGAAGATTTACTTTGATATCTCATGCTCCAGACAACATTTATATCATTATATACCTCCAGAATTTCTGGGCCACATTTTCCCTCATATGTATCAGTTGTCAGTACCTAGGTATTCAAACAGAAGAAAGCAGCGTCACACAAGACAGATGCAACAAACCCGTTGATATCGTATTTCGATCTAGTTTTCCAGAACAACACCCTGGTCAGCTTCTCCACGATGAGGCACAAGACTGCCTCTTCGATCAGGCATAGGTAGACAGATACCGGAGAGCAAGAAAAAATCCTCTCCATCCAGTTAGTCCCGAGTCCTTTCAACTACCCAGCATGCTAGTCTAGCACTGTAGGTCCAAAACCTGCCTGCAATCCTAATTAATAACGGGCCCCGTGGAAAATTGTTAAGGCGGCGTCGGCTTCGCACGCCAGCAAAACCGCGCACCCGGCCCTGATTGGCGCACCCGCCAGCCCGAGCCCCCACCTTGGTCCTCACAGACTCTGCTTCTCTCCATCTCCTCCCGAAAATCTCCATTTTGCTCTTCCAGCAAAAGGCAGCATCAACAATACCCTCCAATCCCCCCTCCGCCAATTGCACGCCGCTGCAATTGCTTTCCCTCTTCTGAGGCTCCCCAGATACCGCCCTCAAGATGTTCCGAAACGCCCTTCGCCAGTCCTCTCGCGCTGTTGGCGCCGTCGCCGCTGGCCGAGTCTCTGTGGTGAGTGTCTTTCCCGCACGCCCGGAAACCACCGTTTTCTGGGGGGGCAAGAGAAAATTTTGGAGGCCCCGAGCATCGACCTGCACACCTGCGAATACCGGGCTCGCAAGCTCAATTGGACATGCAATCGACTTGCCAGCATCGTAGAGCAAGCTTTTCTGAGCTTTTTTGAGCCTGCCGGGGTTCTCCATGGGGTCTTTTTCCATTGGTCGAATTCGGCTAACATGTTTTTTTTTCTCTTGCCCAATGTAGACTCGAAATGCCGCACCGGTTGCCATCAACGCCGTCCGAACCTACGCTTCCGACGCCAAGGCCTCTCCCACTGAGGTCTCTTCCATCCTCGAGCAGCGAATCCGCGGTGTCCAGGAGGAGGCTGGTCTCGCTGAGACCGGTCGTGTCCTGTCTGTTGGGTATGTGGAGGCCACCTGTTAAGCTACTCTTTGGGACCTCGAAGCAGCAACTCGGAACACAATACTACAACACTTTTGAGATGCATGCGACGGGAGAAACACAAAGATAGAAAGAGAGCCTGTGGGATCAAATGCTTCTTCTTTATTTTACTAACTGGAGCGCATAGTGATGGTATCGCTCGTGTCCACGGTATGGCCAATGTCCAGGCCGAGGAGCTTGTCGAGTATGTAGAGATGTCTCTTCCCCATTTTGGACAACTTGCATCTAACGCAGCCTAGGTTCGCTTCCGGTGTCAAGGGCATGTGCATGAACCTCGAGGCCGGCCAGGTCGGTGTCGTGCTGTTCGGTTCCGATCGTCTGGTCAAGGAGGGCGAGACTGTTAAGCGAACTGGTGAAATCGTGAGTTATATAAAGCTTCACTCTCAGTTACTGCCTATATCGCCGAGATAACTAACTCCCTGCAAAGGTCGACGTTCCCGTCGGCCCTGAGCTGCTCGGCCGTGTCGTCGATGCTCTGGGTAACCCCATTGACGGCAAGGGTCCTCTTAACTCCAAGGAGAAGCGCCGTGCTCAGCTCAAGGCTCCCGGTATCCTGCCTCGCAAGTCTGTCAACCAGCCCGTGCAGACTGGTCTCAAGTCCGTCGACGCCATGGTTCCCATCGGCCGTGGTCAGCGTGAGTTGATCATTGGTGACCGTCAGACTGGTAAGACTGCCGTCGCTCTCGACACCATTCTTAACCAGAAGCGATGGAACTCCTCCGACGACGAGACCAAGAAGCTTTACTGCATCTACGTCGCCGTCGGCCAGAAGCGATCCACCGTCGCTCAGTTCGTCAAGACCCTCGAGGAGAACGACGCCATGAAGTACTCCATCGTTGTCGCCGCCACTGCCTCTGAGGCCGCTCCCCTGCAATACATTGCTCCTTTCACCGGTGCTTCCATCGGGTAAGTCTTCGTCCTTGACCTTTACCTTGGTAATGTTTTGAGATGCTAATAAAAAATTCTGGAAAATAGCGAGTGGTTCAGGGACAATGGAAAGCACTCTCTGGTCATCTACGACGATCTCTCCAAGCAGGCCGTTGCTTACCGTCAGATGTCCCTGCTGCTCCGTCGTCCCCCCGGACGTGAGGCTTACCCCGGTGACGTCTTCTACCTGCACTCCCGTCTGCTGGAGCGTGCCGCCAAGCTCAACGACAAGCACGGTGGCGGTTCCATGACTGCCCTGCCCGTCATTGAGACCCAGGGTGGTGACGTGTCTGCCTACATTCCCACCAACGTCATTTCCATTACCGACGGCCAGATCTTCTTGGAGTCTGAGCTGTTCTACAAGGGTATCCGACCTGCCATCAACGTCGGTCTTTCCGTCTCTCGTGTCGGTTCCGCTGCCCAGCTCAAGGCCATGAAGCAAGTCGCTGGTTCCCTGAAGCTTTTCTTGGCCCAGTACCGTGAGGTTGCTGCTTTCGCCCAGTTCGGTTCCGATCTTGATGCTGCTACCAAGCAGACCCTGTCCCGTGGTGAGCGTGTAAGTTGTTTCCCCATATATGCTCACTGAAATTTCGTAGAAGATAGCTGACCCGCTGTGTTTACAGTTGACCGAGCTCCTGAAGCAGAAGCAGTACTCCCCCATGGCCGTTAACGAGATGGTTCCCCTCATCTACGCTGGTATCAACGGTCACCTCGACTCTATCCCCGTCGACCAGATCCTCAAGTGGGAGTCTGACTTCCTGGCCCACCTCAAGACCAACGAGTCTGACCTGCTCGCCACCATTGATAAGGAGGGTGCCCTGAGCAAGGAACTTGAGAACAGACTCAAGGACAGCATCACCTCCTTCGTCAAGAGCTTCCTCAGCTAAACAAATAATAAGTGAAGCGCATCAAGCGAAATAGAAAGGGTCATTGTTGGGGGGTGCTACTGTCTATACCAATATATTGTTGGTCGTTCTCTAGAACGGAGGAAGGAGGGGCTAAAAAGTTAATGGCTGCGCCAAATGAGAGAGCCATGGCTTATAAAGGGAGACGCGCCAGTCATACTACTACTTGTAAAATATAAGCACATTACTCAATGAATGTCCTTGATTCCTTTTGTTCTGTTAATTTTAGAAGAAACCATAATGATTTAAGGTGACTGTGTGGTAGTAGAAGATGGACGCACGTTTATATCTGCATGCATTATTACATTTTAGCCCGACATGCGGTTACTGGTGTAGTATCAATGATATGGCCTACTTTATGAAAAGACAAGCAGAAAGCGAAGTATATTAATAGATTCATAATCATGTCGCAATATTGTCGAGGTCATCCGCTGTCAACATATTGTCGATAGAAATAAATGCTAGTAAGATTATAATATTTGATCTATTATTTCCTACCCTTTCCAAATCAATAATCATGTAGCAATAGTGTTAACGTCATCCGCTGTTACTAGCCAGCGTCCTTTTCTCTGCCTGTTGGAGGCTACCGCCATACATGGGAGCAGATCCAAAGAGAAACCAGACTCCTAATGTGAAAATCTTCCTTTTGGAAAAAGTCATCGCCACCTGCTACCAGTCCAGTGTATCTGGACTAAACCGCCATCTTGGTCTGGAGGTGAAAATACGCATACACGATCATCGTCTTCCTGGCAGTAGAATCTATAGTTTCTATTACTAGGTAAGGAAAGAATGAGCTTTTACTGTAAATGACATAAGCATTATTGTATATTATTACTGCCTTGGTACTAATCTGGTGGCTTGATAGTATTGTAATTACACCAGAGTAATAAAACTGTCCTAATATCATGTTGCAGAACGGTAGTGTCCTTGCTTATCAAAGAGAAACCCAGCCTTAAAGGGACCATGAAGATTGCTTTAAAGCCTGCCTAGACAAGTGTGTCGACACGAGAATTCTGGGTGCGAGAGTCTACTCCTAGTGGGGAGGCGGTACAGATCTTAAAGCCAAAACTCAAAAAAATCGATGAAGTGTCAGAACATGAGGGCAAGCTCCATGTGCTTTCAGCACCACTGTTGATTACAAGCTTCGTTATGACGGAATTCAGAGGAATTACGAACTTAAAGAACAATAAGAATGGAAATCCGCTTGGAAAACCTGCATCAGATGGACTATTTGGGATTGGCAATTAATAATTACAAGCCAAATTTAGCATACATCCCGACAGATGTGCCGTATCAATGGAATAAACAAGCCAACCGACAACCCATCCCAACAGCGCTTCAAGCCAAGAAACGCGATAGGGCTAAGGCAGTGGAGTTAGCAAAATTGTACGACCTGCGAGCAGCGGCACAGAAGAGAACCAAACGGCAGCAAGGCAAGAAGACCAACCAACCATCACCTTCGACTAGAAGCAATTCCATCCCATAAAACATTACAGCACCAGCATTAAACATTAAAGAAGATGATCCCAATGTGAAAATATACCCCATCGCCAATAAATAATCCATATCTCAAATATTACCATCCATAGTACCCATGAAAAACATTAAAATATACTACCAGAAGTACCAGCACCTTGTAGACCGGAATAGACTTGTAAAATCCCACAAGTATATTATAGGGAGCCATTATCCAGCTCCCCAGTTCTGTTATCCAACACCCCAAAAATAAAGAGAGAAGTTATCTAGCACCCCGATTATGTTATTGAGCACTCCAGCTGTAGCTTAGGCTGTTGCTACTGCTACTGCTACTGCTGCTACTGCTGCTACTGCTGCTACTACTGCTACTACTGCTACTACTGCTACTACTGCTACTACTGCTACTACTGCTACTACTGCTACTACTGCTACTACTGCTACTACTGCTACTACTGCTACTACTGCTACTACTGCTGCTATTTCAATAAGTATTTGGCAGCTGTATATATAATATATATACAAGCTGCCCTATTATGCTACAGTTGGGGTGTTGGATAATGAAATTAGGGTGCTGGATAACTTCTCCCTAATTATAGCCTGCCTACGTTCTCTTAGCTTCGAATACATGGACGCGCTATATATTACTATAGATCTAAGTGTATGTTCATCTATGTAAATCAGGCATACCAGAAAGATCATAATGTAAAGCAGGCAGCTGAAACTAATGGCAGAGCAAAAGGTCCAGACCACAAAGGAAAAAGAAGAGCTGGAAGACCTGAAAAAAAAATAACTGAAAAAAATCACTTGAATGGATTTGACTGATAATGAGAGAGAAAACGCTGAAATAAGACCACATGATCTCCAGTAAACTATGACTTATTGACTGGGCTGAAGAACACGTCTAATATCCAGGTATACTAGAAATATGCTATAAGTTCAACAGACTGAAGCAGTTGCAACGCTCCGTCCTCTAACAAGCGACGCCCACAACCAAGTCTATATTTATGTAACTTGATCATACTATTTTACAATGTAAGTATCATTATACTTTTTGTGTGCATTTCCATCTTGCGGTTCTAAAGCAGACAACTTTGGGGCAGCGGCATTGGGATCATCTATAGAGATCATGTGACTTGGCTATGGCATCGCATACAGAGCTCCAGGCTAGCAACGACATGTAGCGCGATACATTTATGTGCTCGCTGTGTACAGTATACGATACAGCGTTATTGTAGGTTACATTACCTGTCTGCTTATTGGTTGTTACAACTTCACGAGCTTTTATTCACCTACTCTCTCTGGCTGGCGGCTTAGTCATTTTTTAAAACAAATACACGCGCTACTGTTGATGTCACATTGATTCATATCGCAGCCCAGGTACGAAACTTCCACTTGCGTACCCTGCAACAAACCCATCTTTCTCGGTGAAATGACGTCAACTGTAGAGAGCAAATAAAAGGGCTGATTTACGACTTGGATCTTACAAATCTCAGATTAGGCCTTTATTCTGAGCCAGCTAGCAATGTCTACCGGTACAGAAGCTCCCAATATGTCAGCCTCAACGAGAAATGTCTTAGGCAAGGTGAGGCGGATGGTTCCGCCTTTGCTCGATACGTTTCATAAAGGTGCGTAATTCTGGTGATTACAGGCAGCACCTCAAGAGAAAATTGATCTCATAGAAGATATGACAAGAAACAGTCGAGAAGCTAACAAGAGCTAGGCCAGCTGGGTCGAGTTGCTGTGATTGGAGGCAGCGAAGACTACACCGGGGCGCCGTACTTTTCGGCCATGGCGAGTGCACGATTGGGATGTGACATGGTGAGATCCAATGATGCCTTGTCTTTTGACACTCAGAATCGCGACATGGCAAAAGAGCGGGAAAACATCCCAGGAATCCCAATCCAAAGGAAACACATGGCTGACTTGAAGTCTCGTGATAGTCACACGTTATATGCACCCCGGCCGCTGCGGCAGTCGTCAAGACATACTCCCCCAATCTCATGGTGCACCCACTCATGCGCCAGTCGTCAGGCAAGGATGAGACAGACCCCGATCCCGACCAAGTAGCGCAGAGGATCAACGAGATGCTGGGCCGTCTGCATGTCTTAGTCGTGGGTCCCGGACTGGGCCGTGATCCCCTCATGCAGGCAACAGTGGCCCGGGTCATCAAAGCCGCCAGAGAGGCCAACATGCCGGTGGTTATGGACGCCGATGCCCTGCAGCTTGTGCAAAAAGACCCAGCCGTGATTAGGGGCTACAAGTATGCGGTTCTGACACCCAACGTCGTCGAGTTCAAGCGACTATGCGACGCGCTCAAGATCGACGTCGGCGACCAGACGAGCGAGACGGGCAAAGTTGAAAAGCTGGCCCAAGAACTGGGCGGCGTGACCATTATCCAAAAGGGCGCCAAGGACCTTATTTCCAACGGCCATGTGACTCTTGTGAGCGATCTCGAAGGAGGGAAGAAGCGAAGCGCCGGACAGGGCGATACTTTGACCGGAGCTATTGCCACGTTTCTGGGATGGCGCAAGGCGTACCATGACGGCTTATGGAAGGATCATGAGAAGCCAGCTCTGGAAGAGGATGAGACGATGGGCTTGGCGGCATTCGCGGGGAGCGCCATAACAAGAGTAAGTCTTCTGAAACATGGGGGGAAATGTAGCTCCCCCCATTCCCAATAACTAATTGCACACTAACATGAGAATCAGGAATGTTCACGGTTGGCCTTTGCCAAAAAGGGACGGAGCCTGCAGGCAAGTGATTTGACAGATGAAGTGCATTCCGCCTTCCTGGGATTCTTTGGCGAGGTTGATGGCGATACTGCAAGGCTATGATGATGGCAACAATGATTATGTGAGATGATGTAGATTTAGATCGGATCTGGAGGCTGTGTTCCCATTTCTCCTATTCTACCGACTTATAAAGTTTGCCTTCCCTTGGAGCATCTAGCGATCCCTGATATCAAAGAACAATGATGTCCTTGTTATCCATCATGAAACGTCTCTCGATTATTCTTCCTACTCGGTGATGTCTTCCACTTCGAGGAGGTCATCGAGCTCATCCATTAATTCATCGGGGCATTTCCGTCGTTCCTCTGGCTTTTTTTGAAGCAAGCTTCTTACATCTCGCTGTACGGTCGCAAATTGTTCCGAAAACCTGTCCATATCATCGATAGCCCGTTCATGGTCCAATCTCATTTGCGTATGGACTGCTTGTTCCTCCATCCAGGTTGCCTGTACCTCCATATAGGCTGCCTGTATCTTCTCCATTTCATTTATCAGAATTTGGATGTACTCTTGGGATTTGATGTTCTTGGCGTTGACTGCCTCATCCACTTTGTTTCCTACAATGGCCAATCTGTTTCCCGTGATGGCCAATCTGCCTTCCGCGATGGCCAATTTGTTTCCCATGATGTCCAAATCACTTCTCTCGATGCTCAACTCGCTTCTCATGGCGTCCAACTCGCTTCGGATTCGATACATTATTTGGTGCTGTTCCTTTTTCTTTAGTCAGTAATGAGGTCGTCGGTTGAGTTAGCATGGGGGTCTTCCTCACGCTTAGTGCCGATTCAAGCAAGGCCAAGATCCGGTCGACGTCCGAGAGTGACGTCTTCGGAATGTGGCCATCTTCAATGTCTTCTTTGTCAACAGCATCGCCCTCCAAGGAACGTTTGCCATTCTCTAGTTCTGCCATCTTGAAGTGCGGGTGGAGGATGGCGGGCGAGAACTTCTCGTCAGAGCGAAATGGAGAAGAAATTGAAGAAACTGAAGAAATTGAAGATATTGAAGAGAGAAGAAAAAAGAGAACTAGAACGAGGGGAAGATGTGAATTAACATATTGCCTAGAGCGGTGTAGTTATTTCAGCGGCAGAATAATATTGCAGCTTCCTGAACATTTATATTTGTAGATATTTACCACCTGGCTGGCAGCTGTCGAATTTTATTGGACATCTCCACGGTGGTCAGTTTTGACTGGAATATCAGAAGTCTAGAAAAGAACAAGCTCGTTCATTCCTGAAGCAAAGTAGTAGCAGGTACAGTAGGCCGCCACCACGCAATAATGATCCTTGGGGTGTACACCACTGTACTGGCGACCAAGAGCATATTATTGTCGGAAATAAAGCTGCTCCTTGCTGCGAAATCAATGGGAGAAAAGTAATTTCTTGAAGTCATTCGTTTGCTTAAGATGATGCGAGACCTAGATTTGGCTCTCTTGTCATAGCCAAGTCTTTGGACTATGGAATCTCCAGCTGTTTTTGGAGCTAAACAGGAGCGTAGATCAGGTATATAGAAGACGAAACTATCTTGATCAAAAGATTCATTCATTGTAGTAAGCGGAAGATGGTAGATAAGAATATCGTCGGCTGGTATCTGGTAGTAATCTGCTCCATAGATACTTTTGATCTACTACATCTACTATGCAAATGTAACACCTAGGGGCAAAGGGCTTTGCGGCCCATCTATTATCCAGCCCAGTAAGGGCCATGTTAAGGCAAGCATCGCAGTTGATGGGTCTAAAATAGTAGCTTGAAGATGCAATGGCAAAGTACTTCACGTGATAGCGCTCAGTAATGGCCTCACTTCAGCTGGGAAAAGATAACTTGGACTGCCAGCGGGACAAGGAGCTATAGGGCATGCTATAGTCTCAGTCTGAAGGGCACTGCATTCTTTGCGATATTGATAGCGACACATCTCTACTTTCGACGCCTGGCTTGGAAGAATGGCCATGACTTATGAATCATCGCTCGATATACCCAAGTCTTGGTCTATGCCAAAAACTCTTCTGAAAAAAGAAAGATGAATAAGACGCCAGTTTCACTTGTAGCTGCAACTAGCCCAAGAAAAATCAGTTTTTCCCACGCTGCTCCATCAGCCTTCTCCATCTTTCTCGTTCGATGAATAGCTAGCTTGATCAGCCACGAATATGCACATAATTGAGCGTCCAACCTGCATATTGCTACCCGTGGCGACCCAACGCCGTTGGTATAGTGTATGGGTAGTATGGAGACGGCTCGGCGGCGACGTTCCCGGCAAGCCATGGACGCCCAACCCGTTTCCACTCGGACTTCTTACCACGTTCGTGTATATGAAACGGTAAAATCAAGATTTGGCCATATGAGCTGTGTTTCATTAAATGAATCCTTTGCAATCTCTGGGTATCAAATGAAATTTCTTCCCATGGTTGAAGCCACCTGCAGGGAGAATGTTCTTGTTGGCTGTAATAAACACCCAATCGCTGTTTATTGGTCATTTGCTCCTCAGCTGCCCACCTCGGACTGAATAGTACTATACAGTACCTGGGATCTGATAAATGAGCAGTGCCTGCCAGATACTAGGAGCTCAGCCGACTTGGCCTTGCACAAGGCCTTATACAAGTAAGGGAGCTCAGGTGGGCTGCAGCGCAAGCCACAGAGCCAGGGCCAGGCGGGCTGAACCTGACCAAATGCACATCCACTTCGGAATATGGGGCCTGCCTGCAAAGAGGCATTTTTCTCACAACGCGAGCCTATCATGCTCCGGGCTACCGGGCTCTAGTTCCTGAGGCTAGAGGCAAAAGCGAGCAGGCGCACCGGATCCTATATCCCGGTCGTCCTGAGGATCCCTGACTGTCTTCCAACGCACTCTGTGGTCGGTACAGGAAGGGACCGGTGTGCTCTCAGAACGTAGATACTGCGTACGAGAACAAATGCCTGTGCTGCCACACTCAATGAGCGCAGTAATATGAAGCCCAGCTGCCAAATAGAGCGGAGTCGAGAGTAGCAGAGAGCTCGCTGATTCTCTACCTCGGAAATTAGCTTCAGAGAGCTCTGAATCAAATGCAGGAGAGGAGCTCAGATAATCGCGGCGTAGCACCAGCCAAAGACTACCCTCGCCATCCGAGTCGCTGGCGATTGGACAAATTGGTAACACCATGCGTAATACTTCGAACCGCTGTGCTTCCGACACCCATCCTACGCCAATTGCCTCTACATAGGTAGCCATGGGCGGCTACGAAGGCTGTGAGCGACCTTGATGCCTTACTGAGAGAGCCATGGTCAGTGGGATACAAGAAACAAGGGATGGCGGCTTGAAAACGTACCTATAGCACAAATCACAAATGTACGTATGCCAATCACAGATGAGATGCCTAGTAACAGGCCATGACCTTGGACCGCGGTGGCTGAAAAGACATCATACATATGCCAGCTGGTTACATGCCTGTCAATGCTAGTCGTACGGACAGGCCAAGATGCATGCAACGTGCATCTCGGTCTGGGAAGATGGGGCGGCTCAACACGATCATTGGACGCCAGATGCCGTAAACTGCCAGTGTCAGCTCGTGCGGTCAACGCGGAAGTGCTAGCGGCCGCGCCACGAGTTACCTGGTTGGGCAATGGCACAACAGCGCAAGGGCACAATGACAAGTCGCACGCAGCAACATCTTTGCTTTTTCTTCGCTCTTTGCTTTTGGCTGCCCCTCACGCGCCCCTGCGGTCTTTTGGATAGGGCACGAGGGCACAAGTAGATAATGGCTGTGTGCCACACACCGTAGGACAATCTCTGTCGGTGTCTCAGCGGAGACTTGCCTCATAGGTTCTGTGCCGTGGCCAAGGCGGCTCCAGCTTTGCTCTCGTCAGACTTCGAGCCATGGGTAGGCCGTGCTGTACACCAATTGGAATCTCTCTGCCAGAAATTGTACACTTAGGTCCCTGGCAAAAAAAAACACAAAAGTGAGCTGTCGTATAGCGAACGTTGTGTATGGTGGGTACGAAATGAGGGCGACCGTGCAACTCTATCTCGAAGGGGGCGAAACAGGGAGTGAATAGACCTAGGAAACATGTAGCACGTACAAGTACAAACTCCTCTGTGAAGCACTGGTTAACGACTACAACGCTGTCTCCCATGGCCGTGGTTTACGCAATAGCAAGATTGACTGCGGCCGTTGTCCGAGGTGGCTGCTCCTCCAGTCCGGTGACATATGCTTCGGGGATATTAACTCATGCAGCTGGCCCCGTCTGCTTTCCCGGATCCAAGAATCGGGAACCGCATAGAGGTGTGGTCCTGTCAGATATGAGATACACAGGTAGTAGCCATAGCGGTACTTCTTGCTGCCTGGGAGGCCACACGTCAAGACTGTCCTGCCCGCTTGATCAAGGACTGACTCTGAAGTACCAAAGCCAGAGCGCAGGTGATTGAAGGGGCAGCTCCATCACATATAAGTGAGAATGTGAGATGTGAGCAGAGAGATCGCCAGACTGGCATGCTGGCAGTAGCTTGCATGAAGGGAAGTGGGGCCGCTGCCCTTGGCCTGTCTGGGTTTATAATTCGTCTGAGTCTCCCTTGATTTGCCCTTGGTAGCACTCGTACGGTCAAAACAAACTATCGATCTAATCGGGGCCAGTGGAGATTGAATTGCAGATCCGAAATGCCCACAGAAATGTTTCTTCGCGTTCTTGGGAGACGAAACATGGACAACTTGTCAACTTGAGTAAGGCGAAGCAGTCACCACTTGGTGGCGGAGGTGGCTGTCGCAGTACCCGAGTTCAGCCCCTCTCTCTTTTCTTTTTGTCCCCTTGGTGAAGCAATAGTACCAGGCCGGTGGTGGCAAGCTGATGCGGGAGAGGATACTGGATGTACACTGCAAGGCACAGGGATTCTGGTGCTCTCGAGGGTATCTGTGCTGCCCGCGATGTCTCTCTTTCCTGGTCGTACTGTCTTGGACTGCACGGCTGTGCGATGCATACTTCGGGTCTGAGGCCCTGTTAAAATGCGGTGGCGTCTACTGGCCTTTGGTCCCTTGGTCGCTCAGCCTGGACGTCTCCCAGATGTCTCACCCGCCCGACGCGCGCTACGGCCGATGACCAACCGAAGCAAGCCTCGAGGCGAATGCAGAGCAAATGCATCGTCACGGAGCTGTCAGGCTGCGGCGCATCTCTGCCATCTCTGCCATCTCAGCCATCGCGAGGGCTTCACGCCAAGGGCCACCCTGGTCGACGTCCGTGAGCCGCGGCGCTAGTCAGTGCATATTGTCTCTGCCCTGCGTCTGAAGTCGTAGCTCATCGTCCCAGGGTCTGTGTCCGGTCAGCTTTTGCTTCGGGCTTTGCCAGTCGTGTGGCGTGCTGCCCGCCCAAGTGGAGGCCGACGAGGCCGTGTAGATGGGAGAATACTGGCAGTAGTACTAGGAGTAGTATTTGGGTTGCTTGCTTTTTGCTGCGGGCACCCACTTCCCAGGGTCTGGGATGTCTTGGAGGGAGAGACTGCGCTCGGTCTCATCCCGCCCTCGAGACATGATAAAGAGCCTCCCTCGACCCCTCTGGCTGCTGGATCGCGAAGTTTTCGATGCTGTGTTTTGTACAGGTTGTTTAGGCTTTGGTCTGCCAGAAAAAATCCGTCCCTCTCTTTTGTTCTTGCCGAGTTGCGCATTCTGCTCCTGCTCTTTCCATTGTTCGGGGGGGATAGAAGCTACGAAACTGGCAAGAAGACTTCACTCGTTGGTTCTTTCCTGCACTTACACCAGACGTCACAACTACTTCCAGTCACTCACATGAGAAGAGGGCTCAGAGAAAAAAAAAAAATCCCCACCAAACACCAGCTACCTGCCTCTATCTTCTCAATCTCGCCCCTCTACTCGACAGCCATTGTCATACCGAAACTGCGATAGGAATATCCTCTCCTGCTCTGCTGCGTGCCAATTCCAGATTAGCCACGGCGCGCAGTCTTCCCAGTCGCGACGTCCAATTCTAATCCAGCCTGTCATTATCACCCTTTTGGAGCAGGTCCACGGCGCACAGCACCGCCAAGTGCATCATCGTCGCACCGGAACGCGCATATCTTGCGCTACACTCGCTCCTTTGCCGGCTCAAAGAGAAGATCGGGTATCACGCACCAATCTTGCAATAGATTGGACGTTTTTGTCGCATGCAAGCCGCCTGGCTATCCTTCTCTCGCCCATTTTCAGCCACCCTTTGGCGAGCCGCTGTGGAGTGGGTTTGTGGTCAGTGTGTTGACCTACTCACTTTTGAATCACTTCTGCTTCACGTCTCGCCTTGTATGGGGTTCCATCTGCCACTTATTAATTACGCGCCCGACGTTCCAAAGTTTCCATTATTCTACTCCTCGCTTCCTCCACAAACCCGTTGCGATAATTCTGTTACTTCCATTGTCTACGACCAAAACAAACCACGGTAGCAACGACACTCAACACATCCTTCCGCTGCCCTCGGAACTGATTCCTATCAGTTACTCCTCTCTGTCTCTCTCCTTCATCCTTCATTCTTCTTGTCTTTTACCTTGGTCGATACAATGTCGAGCGGATTCGACCGCCTGGAGAGGCTGTTCAGCTCCAAACGCAAAGCTTCATTGGCTTCTCTCCGGGTTGCTGCCTCTGATAGCCCTCCGGCAGAGCCTCAGTTCCCTTCCCCTTCTTTCATTCGCCCAACAACCACTCGCATGACTGCCCGAGAAGAAGTGAGCGTGCGACAGGCGACTTGCCGCTCTCCCTCTGTGCCGGACACTGCCCCTTCTCGCCTGGGCTCGCTGAGGTCTCAATCTTCAAGTTCGGGCTTCAGTCGCTCGCCTATTCCGTCACCCTTTCTTCGTGACGCTCAGCCAGACTCGTTGGTGGCGAAACTTCACGAGTATCAATTTCCTAGCCCACCAAACCGAGATTGGAGGGTAGCTACTGCCACTACGGCTTTCAATTCAATGACCACGGAAAAGCCTGAGATTCCTAGCCCCCGCTCTCAATCTCCATCTCCGCTTCGTTTACAGATGACGCCTCGCGTCGACACTCCTCCATCGCCTAGCTCGGTAGAGAATGGATCTTGTCGCCGCCACTCTGACCAGAGTGTTAGAGTTCCTTCGCTTGTGTATAATACTCTGCCGACTCCAGAAGATTCGCCCGAGATTGTACCTGTGCGGAACCTTTTGGCCGATTCTAAAATATTCGACATTGCAATCGACAAAACATTCTTTGATGCATTTGAAGAACAGATTCTTCAGTCGTTTGATCACGCACCGTTGAATGATTCATTTAGCGACTCGTCCCCATCTGAAGCTTCTTTGGGCAGTTCCACTTTGCGGGAGCCAGACTTCAATGAATTTCTGAATCTCAGCGACGACGATATTGCCGAATCGGCACCCGAGACTCCGATGCTGGAATCTGACGATACATCGGAACACTCTCCGACCTCTGTGGGCGCATTTATTCCCCGGCCTAAGCCCATCGGCCCTTTCGACTTGATACTTACCCCTCCTCGCGCAAGTCGTCTTGCTACCGCCGCTGCTTTCGAAGCCGCCAGAATTGCAAAAAAACATGACTTCGACCTGGTATATGTTGTGAATATTTGGCCAAGCATGTCTCGTGGTCGGTCTTTCGATACTCAGAGCGCAGGCTCACATCAGACGCCTTCCTTTGGTCGGCTCTTGGCGGCTCATGGGTTGCACCAGATGGATGAGCCACTGCAACTAGCTGAATTCATGTATAACAAGATATTACGCGCTAAAGGTTGGATCGAATATCGCAATACGGATGCACTACCACATGAGCATGCCCGGGGTTACGCATGCTCCTTCTATACCGGAAAGGATTCTCCACGTCGCCTAAGTGAAGGCAATAGTCCAGTTTCAGACATCCAGGTCAACCGAGGCATCATCTTTGCTGCCTATAGGAGGCCCAGAATCGGCGACTGCAAAATGGGACGCAGCTTTACCGGAGCAGAGCTTAGCTCTCTATACGAAGATGCCGAGACCTTGGTGGAGATGTTGGTCGATATTCATGCAAGCAACCGTCGATGCCATCCAGCCTCTCACCACCACCAGCTCTGCGACGAGACTGGTCCTATGCCCATGCAAGATGTTCAATTGCTGTCTGTATAAGTTGAATTTCTATGACCATATTCTCTTTCAGATTCATCACTTGTTTTACAGCCATTTATCAAAAAACCATGGCATATATATGTTTTTTTTTTGTTTTCTCGTCTTCTCTTTTTCCTATTTCCTTTCCTTTTTTTTCTCCCCCCCCCCCCCCCCCCCCCTTTTTTTTTTTTTTTTTTTTTTGCGTTCCATTTTGTTCAAGAATCAGAAAGATGAGTCAACGATCGGATTTCCTTTGTCAGTTCATCGTTTTTAAGATACCTATGGAGATGGTTTCTGTCACAATTGGCGTTTTCGAGATACTTTAGGCTCTCTAGTGTCCCCTATCAACACTAAAAGGGGAGCTTGTTTATAGTCGGAGGAATTTTGTTTTACCCGCAGCATGGTGGAAAAGAAAATCGGCGGAGGAACAGCGTTGGGACATTGTGAGGTTATGACCGACGGCAGATCTTCCCGTAATGAATGGAAACGGGCATGTATTTCGCATATATGTGGCGCGTTACGGCCGTAATGGTGACTACTAGTATTTCTTTAAAAGAAGAAAAAAAAAAAAGGGTAATTAGGTATAGACAGCCTAAAATTGAGGAAATCTTTTAATGATATATAAAACAAAAAAAAACAGAGCGTCTTTCGATTGCAAGTCTTATTTTGGTAGTAGGAAGTAATCACGTAAGAAACGAGAAACATGTGAGAATCTAGGAGCGCTCTGTCCAATATGACGGGAACAAGGCAAATACATCTTCTTGGCTATTCAAAAGTCTCTTATCCCTATCTTAAAATTACTCTATAGCAAGTGACCAGGGCATCAGACAGTTGTGTGTTTGCCATTAGTCAAACGGAATTCTGCGAAGCGTTTCCACATGTCCTCCCTTCTTCATCTCCTGAGCGGCCGCGATGCTGCTGGGAACCTTGATGCCGCAGCAATCGCCCCAGCCCGTGCCGTCGTGCGCCTGGGTAGTATGGTCGTGGTGTGAATGATCCTCGCTGCTGTCTTCATCGGCAGCGGACAGGTCTTCTTCGCTCATGCCATCTGCAGCAGGGATGAGCGATCCAAACAGGAAATGCTGCATAACGGGCAGTTTTCCCAGCACTTCGGCGACAAACATACGGCGCATACCGCCATCGATTTTGGTCCATGATTTGGAGGAGGAGATGTCGTCCAGCATGGGGCTGTGCCACCGCAGGCCTTTGACGGTCTTTGTGCTATTGACGAAGTTGACTTGGCCGAGATACAAGTAGTCGTCGCCGAATTCTTCGACTGTGAGGTCCTGGTGGATGGCGCGAGGGGTGATGTACGGGTGGTGCAGGAGCTGAGAGGCGCCGAAGAGGAATGGCAAGAATTGGTAATCGTCGAGTCCCCAAACTCCATGGGAACCAGCCGGCTCCAAGTAATATGCCATTTGAATGACACGCATTAGAGAGAGGTAGCGAACAAAGACTCGCAGGACCAGTGCCGGGAAGTCGGACCGCTGTAGGATGCCAAGTTGGTAGAGACATAGAAGCCACATCATGAAGTTGAGCTCGTGCCCTGAGCCATAATCGATCCGGTTTCGGTTGCCAAAGGACTGGAGAAAGTAGGCAGATGCTTCGGCGGTGGCCTCGGCGTTGTGCAGACCAAGGCTTTCGTGCCATGCCGGGACATTGTCACCGACTAGATCAAGGAAGCCCCTGAACGCCTTGTTGCCGAATCGAGAGCCGCCTTGCTCGTCTGGAGGGGACTGAGAGACAAAAGTTTCTGCTTGGTCCAAAATGCTCAAGATTGCCTTCACCGGTCCACTGAGGGAGTCGTCTTTGATAACAGATTTGGGCGTATCGACCACCGATTCCGACAGGCCAAAGATCCATGCCGCGATGAGATTATACGTTGGAGAAGCCAGGAATAAGTCATGGTCGCTCCTTGACAGAATGCGTCTGCTTGGCGCCTTGAAAGTCCAGCCCGTCAAGTCCGGTGGCGAGGGCAGCGCTGGAGTCTGAGGCACAGGCGTTTGGTTGGCGGGGCCGGGTCTCCTTCTGCGCGGCTCGAGCTTTGGGATTCTGTCTTTGAGGTTGGGGATGCCTGAGGCCAATGGCGGTAAGGAGGCCGGCTGGGCGGGTGATTGTGATGCCATGGCGCGGCTATATGTGATGAGAGTTGATGGAATTTTGATGTTGTGGCGCTGGAGACGTAGGTGTGTGTTGCAGGTGATGATGAATGAGGAATGAGGCGCTATCAAGATGGCGTAAAATCGGTCCCTGAAAGCTACCCCACGTCACCGGCCAGCGAGAGGTCCCCACTACGTATCCGACAGTACCTGAACCAGCAGAAACCAGGTCGCCATAGTGGCGGTCCAAGTACCGACACAAAAACTTTACTTTTGCAGATCGAGACTAGCAACACCAACGGCAGGCAAAATTTCAATCTTCATATCTGCACCTAGAGGCAGCATCTTACAGCCTTACAGCCAACCCATCTTTTTCTCATTGCTGCAAGCTGTTTCTTTTCTGTTTCTTTCACACACACACACATACATCACCATGGCTCCTCTTACGGCTGAGCTGTCACATCTGCCCAAGACAGATGGCTCCGCGAATTTTGCATACGGCGGCTACACAGTCACAGCTGCAGTCAACGGACCAGTAGAGGCGCAACGCCGGGATGAGAATCCATTCGAGGCGTTGGTGGACGTGAATGTGAGGCCGGCGGCGGGAGTTGGAGGTAAGCAGACGATTGCACCTAAACAAAACGAGAAGAGGGTGGTGGCTTTTATGGTGGAAGGATTTTATGAGGATTCATCTCTCTGACCTTTGGTGTCTTGCAATTTTAGGAACTGGTGAGCGCCAGCTGGAGGCTATTCTGCAGCCAGCTCTACGACACCTCATTCCAGTTAGGAATTTCCCCAGATGCGTGATTCAGGTCACTCTCCAGGTCATGGAGACGCCTGAGAATGCGTATGTGAATTCCAAGGTGATGCAGCCTCGACTAGTAAGTGTGGCTTATCCTAACCGTTTGAAAATGAATCTCCATCTCACATTCACTTCTTCAGAATCTTGGCATCATCCCAGCGCTCTTACACGCTGCTATTCTGGGACTTTTAACAGCAGCAGTTCCCATGAAGACGGTGGCTTCAGCAACATGTCTGGCAATCACAAATGCTGATGGCAGCAGCGTCAAGGTAGACCCGACGCCAGCGGAGATTGACCAAGCGAGATCCGTCCACGTGCTGGGCTTCACGGCCGACCGCGACCTTTTGCTCGCCGAGAGCGAGGGCTCCTTTTCAGCAGACGAGTGGGCCACGGTCCTCCAGACGGCGGAAAGGGTGTGCTGCCGCGGCCAGGAGGCTGGAGATGATGCGGAAATGGGAGGCTACGGGGCTGAATCCGAGAATGTGCAACAGTTTATGCGCTCCGTTTTGGAAGCGAAGGCAGCGCAGGGTCTCCACTGGAGGTGAAGCATCCGCCGGTGTTGATACATCACTTTGTTTCTCTCTCTCTCTCTCTCTCTCTAATTTCCTTTCTTGCTGGATCATTGGCTCCCCTTATCAATATCACCGGCGCCACGAGACGGTGATATCTGCTCTCGTATCTGAGCAGCGGTGCGAATTTATCCTGGGGTAGGCCGGTGGTTTGCAGGTGATTTGTGGGAATTGCCTTGTCAGCAAGGCGCTATCACATCAACTACATGACAAAATTGGCATAGGGAACAGTAAGTGCGGAAACGATGGAACTAGGTCAGCTATAAACGCTGCTGAGACGAGATGGGAGACGCTATTGGATTTGTGATGAGGCTGGCAGGCATGGGGGCGATACCGTTTCTGAGAGGCATCACGCAGAACCGAGTCAGCTGCGTCGATACGCCAGCTCGCCTAATCTAAAATCATTTATAATGCTCGGATAAGGGTGACGACATGTCGACAGAAGAGGGTGTGTTGAGACAACAGGCTGAATTCTCTCAATGGTGAAGGAGAGTGTTGACAGATTACATATTATTAAAGCAGGTGGTGTATGCCAGAAGCAGCATAGGATAGCGAAAAGAAGAATCAACAAAATGGCGCACCTGAATAAGATAGTACTATCTTCTTTCTTCTCTCCCCCCCTTCTCTTTCATTTTCTACATTTGCCGAATGTGGATGCGCTTCTCGGGCATGCGGGTTTATTTTTGTAACAACCCCTGAAATGCGTGCTAGGCGATGAAACGCTGTTTTGGCCGCCGCCGGCAGCGTCCGTTGACAGCTTTTTGTGATAGCGTTGGTCCGTTGACAGCGTTGGTCTGTTGACAGCGTCTATTAACAGCTTATATTAGTAGCGATTTACCGCAAAGGGCTACATGTATCTGTAAATGCTACTGCTGCTACTGCTGCTAACCAGCGAAAAGTACGCAGACGCTATAGTTCTCTGTATATTATATACCTCGTATATTGTTTAAATGTATAGTTAAAGAAGACCCTTAGAGTATAATTAAAATGCTTTAATTACTCTTAAAGAATTGTTTATATATATATAACCCAGTTCGACGATCAAAGCTCCTAGAAAATCAACAGTAGACTTCCCACTTGCTAAGATCCAACCACCTCATTCAGTCTGCAAATAATACATGTTTACTTAATACAGCTCTGATCTAGATGCCGCGTCTGCTTTTGGAATCCTTCGGCAGTGCATCTTCACCTTTCCAGCAAGTCAACTGCATAAAGTCATCCCCCATACTCTGAAACCAACTGCCTGCAGATGCGGAACACCAAACATGGGGGTTTGGTGAGACTGCCAAGCCGCCGCACTACCAAACACGGGCGGGTATCTGGCATGGAGTATCAACCCCGTATATTACCTAGTAATACTTGTACATGTGCCTGTACATACGCGCTGTGACATCTGTGACATGGGCATTTCGCTTCTCTCCAGGGTCTTTTTTTTCTCCGCAAGTCGAGGATTAATGGCAGCGTAGCATTTGGCCTCGACCTCCCGGAAATAGCACGTTGATGTCTGAGAGTGTGCAATACTACTCCAGCTGTCTAGGTACTCAATATTATTGCCTAGTAGGTAGTAATATTACAAGAGTCCTAGTAATGCTACTATTGGAAACTAGTAGCTGGCAGCTACGAGCTCCAATATGACGGTTTAATTGCCGGGCAGCAAAACGCGGGCCTGGCGTCTCAGGAGCTCAGTATCCCTGGCGCTTTTTATCTGCAGGTACCAAATCCTCGCATACAAATTCGCGTGTAGGTCAAAGTACACGGGGTGGCGGGCGGCACGCACCGCAAAACGCATCCCCCTGAAAAAAGAAGAAAAGCGAGAGGAAAAAAGAGAAACAATAAGAAAGGAAAAAAAGAGGAGCTGCGCATTGAAGGCCTCTGTTTCGCTGCCATTGCCAACGCCAAATGTTTCTGAGCAGGGAGCTGCTACCCAGCTAGCGACCAGCTAGCTCCTCCGTGATGGTAGCTGCATCAATTACGGGGAGAGAGAGAGATGTGATGGAAGCTGGGAGGAGATGTGATGCCTGGAAGCTGGGGATTGCTAGCGGTTAGAGATTCTGGCGATTCAGAGATTGTGGAATTGTATGTATATAAGACTCGTGGCGTCGAAAACAGCCTCTCCCGTTTGCTGGTACGCATCGACGTTGAGTATAATCTTTAGTTGGAGCAGCAGTGCCGGAAGCAGAACTCTGGAAGTTCTCGCATGTGTCCTTTTCTCGTCCTCCTTTAATTGCTGCATTTTCTCTACACCTTGTCTTTTATTCTTTCATTGCCCTTCCATTCTCTTATATATATATATAATTTTTTTTATTTTTTCCTCTTCTGTTCTTTTTTTTCTTTTCAACCTGCTTCCCCACTAGCAAGACCAGGCGTCGGCTCGCTCTTTCCCCCTTGATCCTCGTGTCACGAGATATCCTGTCTCTGATCTGCTCGAAGTGGCGGCGATTTATTTCTTATTTCACCTCCTCAGCCCTCGCTTGCTCTGCCTGTTGCAACTCCATCTGCGAGCCTCATCTTTGCTCTTTACGTGCACCACAGCTGGTCTGTTGCAGCCTCGCTTCCTCGGTTATCATCCACGACACATCCAACACCACCGCCATCGTCGTCATCCTAAATCACCCCGAGTCAAGTCAGCTGGATCTGCTTCGAGCCCATCCAGACGTCCATTTTGCCCAGCGCTTGCGTTGAAAGAGGTAAGGCCCACGACTGGACACTGCGGAGAAGCCGTCACTGAACTGGCAGTAGTCTACAAGGCCCCGACGACGACAAATCCTCGAGTCCAAAACAGAAAGTGCAACGTGGGTGCCTCCAAAGCATCACTCGAATCCCAAGAGAGTCTCCGCTGCTTCGTTATTCGCCCCCGACGCTTCCGCTAGAGCCTTAGCGCGCTTGGCTACTGCATCGCATTGCCCTTTTGCAGATTGCGCAAGGGGATTGATTGATTTATCCAGCACTCGCTGTTTGATGTAAGCAAAATCCTGGGCTGCTGCGACCTCTGCATTTCCCTTTTTAGAAGCGCCGGCTCGCCGCCAGTCAATGGGCTTTCGCAACGGGAAGCTTCTGCTTACACTGTTCTACAGCGTTCCACGGAACACGGATCCCGGGACAAAGTCTGCGCTGCGCCCATCCCGGAATTTACTGTCCACCCTCCACTAAGCCCGTGGTTGATAATCCACTGCCTATCGCTATAACGCGCTGCAACCGCACTACCGCCTGCTATAGTAATCATGGACGGCACTGTTTCGCCTCGGACCGACCTCCATCCTTCCCCCGAGAGCAACGGCGGACTTGAGTCGCAGGACCGCCCTGCCTCGCGACTCTTGGCTAAGTCCGACGACATATTAGACCGCCGCCCCAAGTCCTCGTCCGGCATTCATAACCTGTCCGTCAACGTCACCAAGGCCTCTCGCTATGAACTTGAGTCGAACCTCCCCTCTACCGCTATCCCATCACTAGGTGGCTCTGGTGCCTCGGATTTTCCCGTGACCTCTGTTGTTATTTCACCAGCAGAGCCCTCGACCGTGGCGTCGCCTAAGACCGCCATTTTCTCAACTGCGGACTCCAGCCAGCTCAAACCGGAGGCGCAACAGCTGGCGCAACAGCAGCGCGAAGCTTATCAAGCAGCCGCGTCGCTTGAGCTTGTTCCCCGCCAAACTATCCTGAAGGCGCTCGCATTCACCAATTCTTCCGTCTCTCGTCCCCGGAAGCCAGAGGCACTTTCGTTCAATAACATGTTATTCCCTCAGGGTGTCAACGGCGGCTCCTCGTCCGCCGCCGCCAGTCCCCAACAGCTCGCCGATGCGCTCCAAGATCTAGCCAAGAAGCGATCTACACCAACCACAGCAATCAGCAATCTGCTATCGCCATGTTTCTACCACCAGCGATTCGATGATGCTGTCGACATCGATAAGGTCCTCGAGGAGATTAAGAACGATGAGTCCATGTCACATTCACGCTTGGTCCAGACTGCGACCAGCGTGCGTGAAGTCTCCAAGCAGCTTCAACGACGCCCCATCAAGCAAGCAGTGCGCAATATCATGATTGTCACCAAGGCTCGGGATAACCAGCTTGTTTACCTCACACGGGAGCTGACAACGTGGCTCTTGCAAACCCCTCGTTATGGATCTGATGTCGGAGTCAACGTCTACGTCGATGCCAAGCTGCGCAACTCAAAGCGCTTTAATGCGGCAAGCATCGTCGCTGGAGATGCGCGATTTGAAAACATGCTCAGATATTGGACCCCGGATCTGTGCTGGAGCCAGCCTGAGAAGTTTGATCTCGTTCTCACCCTGGGCGGCGACGGCACGGTCCTCTTCACCTCATGGCTCTTCCAGCGCGTGGTGCCTCCTGTCCTCTCATTCAGCTTGGGAAGTCTTGGCTTCATGACCACTTTTGAGTTTGAACACTATAAAAAGCATCTGAACCGAGTCATGGGCGATGATGGTATGAAGATTAATCTGCGCATGCGTTTCACTTGCACCGTCTATAGACAAGGATCCAACGGCAACCCCATGGACGAAGGAGAGCAATTCGAGGTCCTCAACGAGCTTGTCATTGACCGTGGCCCATCTCCTTACGTCTCAAACCTTGAGCTCTACGGAGATGATGAGCTCCTGACTGTGGTCCAAGCCGACGGCTGCATCTTCTCTACGCCTACCGGTTCGACAGCCTACTCTCTTTCAGCGGGCGGCTCTCTTGTCCACCCTGACATTCCCGCCATTCTCTTGACTCCCATCTGCCCGCACACTCTCTCGTTCCGACCCATGGTCCTCTCCGACACCATGGCACTCCGTATTGCCGTGCCACGCAATTCTCGAGCCACCGCCTACTGTGCTTTTGACGGCAAGGGCCGAGTCGAGCTCAAGCAAGGCGACCATGTTACCATCACTGCGTCGCAATATCCCTTCCCTACCGTCACTCGAACCGACACTGAGTGGTTCGACAGCGTCAGCCGCACCCTGCGATGGAACGTCCGCGCCGCCGCTCAGAAGCCCTTCGATGCGTCTGGCATTTCACCCTCTGGCGAAGAGGAAGAGGATGACAGCTGGGATATTGACACCGACAGTGCTTATTATGCTAGCGAAGAGGGTAGTACCGCCGCCAGCCCTATCAGGAGACAGATGAGCATGCTGGGCATGTGATTACGACTGACACATGCTTTTTCTTGGACCCCCTTTTACGAATATATAAGCGTGTCTTGTCAAGTTTTTTATCTTGTTGCTTTGTTGCGCCCCTTATTGGCCACCTTTGCTGAACATCTAGATGTAGATATGCTGGGAGTTTTTTTTTTGGCGTTGGAGTATGAATGGTGGGCTCCCTTATATGGACGCTGCCCCCTCTGGGTTGTCTTTGGTTCTCTCATTTTTTACAACTATTACCTTATACAGTCTATAGCTTAGAGTAGATAGCTAGACACGGCTTGAGCAAAAGATCTTGAGCAGTTTGAATTGCAAAGATACAATGCGAAACATTTATTCGCACAGATTTCTTCAAAATCAGATTCTAATTTCTCTAAAACTAAACATTGTTGTTGTTCATTGGCGTGCTATGCAAAAGGCCAACGTAGACGGAACAGTACTTTGTTTCTTTGTTTCTTTTTCCCACCAGTAAGGCCGTTCCATCCATAATACGCCCATTGAAATATGCTGTCCCCCCTCCTTTATATCTGATCAAACGGCAATCAGCTCCATTTTCTTGTGATGCACAAACCCCCCCTTCCTCCGTAAAGAAAAAAACAATTTCCAGAAACATTTGTTTTCTTTTTGCAAACCAGTCGCAGGCCGTGTTAAACAAAAAAAAAAAAACAAAAAAAAAAATCCAAACACACATTATTAAAAGCACGAGTTGCCTCCCAGGTTTGCCAGTATCCGTCTATCCAGCAAAGCTCATTTCCAGTCTCTTGATCCAAAGCCGGAAAGGAAAGAAAAGAGGAAGAAAAAACACAATAAAATGTTAATAATGGGTAGGTGTGTTTCACCCCACCTCTCTTCAAAGAACAAATGAGAAATTATCAAAAGTCGTCAAGGGGGAAGAAGAGAAACCAAAAAAAAGGAGAGGAAAGATGTCTCTCATTCTCGCCCCCGTTGGTAAATGAAAAACAATCAATGTTTTCCTTAAAAAAAAAAAGTCATGTCTTCGTAGAAAAACAAAGAAAACAATGCTCAAAAGAAGGTGTCCGTGTATCTGCAATCCTGGGTGTATGTTTGCTCCTTCATCCTCTGTTTTTGTGGCTTCGGTGCATATGCATGCGCGATTATCTCCAAGCGCCTTGGCTCAGGGACAGTAGGCCTGCGACACAGTCCATGTCGCCCTTTTTGCTGGGGCTGACCTCGCCACACATGAATCTGCTTACTTCATCGTCCCGTGGAGACTCTGCCTTGGGCTCCAAATCGGCCAAAGTGTAAATCCCCGTCTTGGCAGGTGAACGAGCCTCGGACGGCACAGTGTTGGAACGCATCAGGAATGCTGGGCTCTTTCGACCCTGCAGCACTCGACCGATTCGTCTGGCACTCTGTGATCTGATGGGACTGCCGGGCGGCATCTGTCGACGGCCCTCTGCAGAACTTCCATCACGTCTGGGGCTCCAGTTCTCCTTGTCCGAGTCAGACGGGGAGACAAGCATGGAGACATTCATCTTTGCGTGGCAGGATTCCCGTGATTTTTCATCACTGACCCAGCACGTCTCTAGCCGAGCAACACTGGAAGTAGTACGATTGAATCTGGGCTTCTTGATCAGGCGAGAGCGCGCATACTTTGTCTGCGATGCATTGCGCTTGGCAGTGTTGGGTTGCAAAATACTGCTGGTGGAACGGAGCAAGCTGATGGCGGCGATGGCAGAGCCGCTGGACTCATGCTCGGCCTGAGCCGTCAGCTCGTCTCGGGTTTCGGAATCCGCGCACAGCTCCCAAGCATGAACATCACGAGAGCGGCCACGAACAAGATGTGGTGGAAGCGAGTTGGTCAGGGTTGAGATGGGTGGCAGAGTGACAGCAGGGAGTGCACTATGGCTACGCTGAAGGCCCCGTCGAAGCGACAGAGACGGTAGAGTAGATGAAGGTCTTGATGGGGTTTCACGGATCGGCGAGAATTCGTTGTTGGGCACCAACTCGGCCTTGCCTTCAAGAGAGAGGGAGAGACGCATGTGCGACCGATTGGCTCCAGATGTATTAGATGAGCAAGAGGAAGGGTAGAAAGGATCGAATCTATGATGCAAGAGTCAGTATATGAGTAAGGGAAGGTGAAGAAGGTATAGATCCTATGGCAGACAACTTACTTGTAGGAGTTATCACGCGAGAGAGGCGTGGCGTACGTGTTACCCAGGTTCCAGCGGTTTGCGAGATAGCCAACGGAGCCAGAGAAGGACTGAGAGGGATGGTTGGCGTCCTCCTGCGAGGGTGGGAACATTTGTCGTTGCGGTGTGACGTGCGGCTGGTTGCTTGCAGAGAAAGGCTGAGAGGCATACCGGGATGCAGGCGTGGCGTGGATAGCCTCGCCAGCACCGTGGTGGGGGTGCGCATGTATCGGGCTGGTGGGAAGATGAGGCGGTGATGTCGGAGAATGGTCGTGAGTCTGGGAATGGTCGGAGAGGTAGAAGGCCGATGGGTCCAGCTCGACGACGATGCTGCGGGAGGTGATGGGATCCGACGTGATGTTGTGCATGCCGCTGAAGCGCAGAGCCGCCAGCTCCTGCGGTGACAGCGGACGGGACTTGCGCCTATCGTTCTGTCTTCGGTTCTGGAACCAGATCTAATTCGGTGAGGCCCATGTCAGCTTTGTGTCTGTGGTTGTCTTTGGGCATAAAAGGTTGCATAAAGGTTTAATTGGCTTTAATCTGGAGACGCGTTGGGTCCCCCCAGATCCTGGCTCGGGTTCAAGGGCTGACAGGGCAATGTTAAAGTGCATGACATACCTGAACTTCCTTTTCATTAAGTGACACGCGGTTCACGATCTCAAGACGCGCCTGCTTATCGGGCTTGGGGTTGATGGAGTATGCCTCTTCGAGGATCATCTTGTCCTTGGTGCTAGTGGGAGCAACAACAACAACACATGTTAGCCAGCTTGCGCAACACGCTTGCCAGGGGTCAATTGGCATCAATTCCGCGCAGAAGACGATCGCCAATGGCCCTCGGACAGGATTAATCAAGATAGGAAGCTTCAGAATACAAGGGACATACGCTGTTCTCTTTCTCTTGCCCTTGGGGTGTCTATCTGTGGTGGGGGATGAGACGGCGGGGAGCGCGCTCTGGGCCAGGCTGGAAAGGGGCTCAGAGGTTCGCACAGGAGACGGTGAGCTGACATGCCGCAGATGCTGCTGGTGAAGCTCGTGCTGATGCTGGCGATCCATATCAGCCATGCTGGAGGGCGGCGTGAGAGGAGCGGCCATGGTGGTGGAGGAGTGTGTGGTTTGTTTTTGTTGTTATTGTTTTGGTCTAAGAGGCGCCTCGAGGCATTACTCTTGGATGAGCTTGGAGAGGCAGATGGAAGAGGATTAGGGGGGGGACACGAAGGATTAAAGATGAAAATAAAGAAAAAGAGAGAACTGGAGCCCCGACCAGGAGTAGAGCCAAGGGGAAGAGGCAGATGCGTGGAAGAGAAAATGCAAGATACGACGTGTAGCGAGCAACGACGTGGTGAAGGTGCTGGGACGGGCAGGTTTGTGGACGTGCAGGAGGCGGTGGGCATTGGGTAGGTACATGGAGCTCCAGTTGCATCGGCAAGGCGATTAGGTACAGTACATGGGGGCCCGGTACAGCTACTTGCCGTGGACAGCGCATAGTACAGCAGGTTACAGCACGCACAGCACGCACCACAGGCGGTCCCTTGGCGCACTGGAGCTGTGGCCCGGTGGTGCCCGGAAGGGGGGGGGCGTGAGTGGCTACAGGGGTCTTTTGGGCCAAGGTCTCAGCGCGGTCGGTAGCAGTGACTCGGGCCTCTGTAGCGGCGGCAGGCTGCCAAGTCACCCCCCCGTCTTGAGGAGAAAAAAAAAGAGGCCCCTCTGCTAGCTCTATTTTGCAGCTTGAACCTTTGAATTGATTTTCCAAACAAAAAAAATAAAGACTGAGAAAAAGTAAGGCTTGAGCCCGCGTGCAAATCACGTCGCGCGCCTGGCACTGGCATGTCCGAATGGGGAAACATGGCCAAAAAAACACGCGTAGCACGTGCAAGGGTCCTACAAAGCTTCCATCTCATGAAGCTCTCTGCTTTCATTAAATTAATCATCGTCTTCTGCGAGCTCCTCTCATATTTTCGCTTTATTAATCATTATTATTCCTTCTTCTGGTCATTGACACCCCTGTCTGGAGCAATGCACTACCGCCATGCAGAGTACAGCTCTCTTTTGGACGCCGTCGACAACTGAAGAACAAAGAACAGCCGACCCATGCAATGGAAGGCCAGCATGACCAGGATGCCTTGGCCAGCGAACGCATGAGAGGCGTACACGATACCTTGCTTGCTGAGTGCTTGCATGGTCCCCGCCTCAGCGTTCTCGCCGCTTTAGTCTTTTGGCGACGTGCATGCCACCCAATGCCACCGCCCAGAATTACTGTACAAGTACAATGTACTGCATCTGATCCCTAATCGTATATTGTCTCGACTAGCGTCAGCCGTGAGCGCGCGATGCTGCTCCGTTGGGTGGTAGTGCGAGAATGAATGCTCTCGTGCTGCTAGTGAAGAATTGGTTTGTTTACTTTTGGCCGCATCGGGCTCGCCGTACTACTGTACTAGTAGTAGTATGAAAAGTACCTGGCGCAGCAGCAAGTAAACAAAACAAAACAAACAAAACAGCAGATTCCATCATCGCTGAGCACCACAAATGCCCAATGCTGATCCATCCACACGAGTAATGGAGTAGGCATGTATGTGTACATCCAGGTAGGCATTATTAAGCCGTCCATGTCTACAGAGCAGCGTGACTTTTCTCTCCCTTCTCACTGCTGCTGCTGCTAGTCATGCCATCCATGGCCATCTCATCAACACCCTATTGATCGTCTTGTCGACACCGCTGTCGCTTAAATGGAGCCGGCCATGCAAGCACTCCAACGTGGACTCGATAGCTTCCCTCAACTCAGGCCATTGCCTCGACTAGCTGCTGCTGCTGCATCCGCTATACCTCGTCGCAAACACCAAAAGGACCAAAAGGGACTGCCTGGTGGATCGTCTTAGCGCCCAGCCCCCCGTTTTAGAGCCGCCACGTTGTGCGTTGTAATATGTAGGCAAATGTATGAGCACGCATGAATGGAGCAGGACGAGCATCCAGCACCCACCAGGCCTTGGCTGTGCTGTCTGTATCCGAGCAGAGGATACCTACAGTACTATATTGGATGTATGAGACGTCCAGTTGAGATCAATTCAAAGCACTCAGTCATTATAACATCTGATCATCGTGATCCTCTCGAAAGCTGTAGCAATCCTCTGGACCTTGGCTCCGTCTCTCACTCTCAATCCGTCTCTCACTCTCAATCCGCCTCTCACGCCTCTCACGCCTTCCACACACTCGCTCGCTCACATCTTCTTGACCGCCTTCTCCAGCTATACCTCCCTGAGCACTTCTCCGTCCTGGCTGCTACCTTGCCGTGCATTGGTGGCTACAGCTTCGTCGTACATGCCGGCGGCCATTGGCCTATCATATTCGACGCTGCTGCTCCAACCTCTTCAACGGTAAGGCAGATGTGCCCAATTGTGATGCGTTGGCCTCGGTAGATTTGCCCAGCCTAATCTATGTACGATTAATTGAATGCTTGTTTTGTCTCCCTTTCCGCCTTTTTGCCCACTGCTGCTCTCCGTCTCATATCTCAGTCAGTCTCTCTCTCTCGTTTCGGCTTCGTCGCAAACGTTCCCTCCCCTGCTCTGCTGCAAAGCTCCACTTGCTCCGTCTCTTCCCACTCATCTATTGCCTCTCGTCCTTTCTCCGGACCGATGCGTCAAGTCTGGCCATCCATCTCTCCAGCTTGCAGCCAAGTTTCAAGACAGCAAAGCAAAGGATACCGAAACTCCCGAGCTTCAGCCAGTATTGCAAGTCAAGTTTTACTTGCCTGGTGTAGCACCAAATTTCCATCAAACATATCAATTTCCGCTTCCAATGGCCCGTCAATAATTCCCCAATCGTACATGTCTGCAGTCATAGACCTCCAAAGCTCCCACACATTATACGTGTACCCAGTATACTTCCTTTTACCCCAATTTGCTACCTCACCTATACATACTCATACATACAGGTATACAACACACGCTTCCCATGTAACATATAATACGTGTCAAAGGGCCTGGCCACCTGCTTCTACATGCGTCTTGCATCCCGCATATCCCCATCTACCTATCCCCAGCCACAACAATTTGGCCCTTTTTCTTCACCGCAGTTGACGGGAGGAGCACAAAAAAACCGACTAGCCAGCGCAGGGCCAACGAGAGCAGAGCCTATGGAGCCTTGTCAAGCTCCATCCACATCTGCCCAACCTTCTTCGTTCTATTCTAGGTTTCTTCTTCGGGCCAACATTACATCTTCATCTCTCTGCCCGTCAAGTGGTTCTGCATATGTGTACAGCGCCTGCTCCATATCTGCCTGAGTTTCTGCAGCATATTCCTAGCACTTTGTAGGCGGGATGTTATAGGCAGGGGTAAGCAGTGCATGCTGGGCTGCTTGCTCGTCGTATGGAGTATCAATACGGAGCCATACGAGTACATACATGAATGCGTTGTCCGGCATGCATTCCGAGCAATCTGAATGTCTCGCTGGCCAATACTGCACGCGCACCAGGTGTGCGTAAAGCTACGTTGTAGAGTTATCCAGCACTTTAGTTGTAGCATTAATAGGTTATTACTGCTATTACTGCTTTTGCTACTGTTGCTACAATTGCTACTACTATGATCTTTAAAACACCCATACTTATATCAACTAATTATATACACTTTTATTAAGCCATAGCTAGGGTGTAGTACCAGATAACGTTTCTTTGAATAAAAAAGTCTTCATATTTTGGACGTGTGCGTGTATCTTCATTTTGCGGTCCCTATTTTTCTTTGCACCCCTTGGCCGTGTAAGCGTACGTATTATATGTGCGGACATGTCAAAATATGCAAGAAACAGGTGTTTTGGCTAGCTGTTGCTGCGTTGTATCAGTACTTGGCGAACAGGCCAGTATGAGTATTATTAGTATTAGCATACCCAGTAAATATACTTGCGTCTTTGCCAGGATTGGCTCAAGACCAGTAAAAAGCAAAGAGAGGTCTGAGCAGCCTCTTAGTAATACTAAAAGCAGTAGGTGTCGGGTAACTCAATACTACATGTAAGTAATAAGCTGTCATATGCAGCCCTGGATTTGCATAGCACCTTAGTACTAAGATAGTAGCAGTAGTTCGTACCTGTTTATAGCTTGTTTTCACCTGACTCTCTATTGGTACAATTGGTACCTAGGCAGTGCAAAGCTCACCCTCGTGCCAAGGGAAACGGGAAGAATAGTTAGAATGGTAATGTGGTATGAAATAGGTGTCTTTAATATGAAAAAAGTCTAGCTAGGTTAGGTTTTGCCGCAACTCCCCGCGGCGACGCCTCAATAATCTACCCCAAACGAGGTACCAAGGGTATTATAGCCTTGCCCTCTCCAATCAAGCTCCTGTGAACCCGGAAATTTCCTTCCTTTATCATAAACGGTCATTCCAGCTGCCGATGGCCAAATTCCCACGTAATCCGGGATGTCCCAGCATTGTCAAACAAAACACTTTTGTCGCCGTCGCGCGAGTCGTTTACAGATCATCGTCGGACAGCTCACCAGGAAGGGGCATGTTTGCGGCGTCGTCCATCTCCTTCTTGTACTGAGCCAGGAGGGCCTCGTCGACCTGGGCAGTGGGGGGAGCAAGAGCAGGGGCGGCAACGAACTCCTATATTGAGATAAAGTCAGCGCATGGTCATGGGGCGATTTTTTCCCCCTTGCATATATGGTGGTACGAACCAGCTGGGGGTTGCCAACCAGCTTGCGAGCAAGCCACAGGAAGGGCTTCTCGAAGTTGTAGTTGGACTTGGCGGAGATGTCGTAGTACTGAAGGTTCTTCTTGCGGTGGAAGGTAATAGTCTTGGCCTTGACCTTTCGCTCCTTGACGTCGACCTTGTTACCGCACAGGACAATGGGGATGTTTTCGCAGACGCGGACGAGATCACCTAGTAACCAACGAGTTAGAAGCTTTGGACGCGTTTTTCCTGACGGATAGAATGGAAAACATACGGTGCCAGTTGGGGACGTT